GTCTAGTTTTGTGCTGTCTTACAGAGACCCTGTGCTCGCAAGTGCCCCGATCTGACCAAGGAAAGTGTTTTATGAAACCCGAAGGGGGACAAGGACGGCCCACCGGAACCGACGACCAAAGACCCGGTTGGAAGGCATGAGGGTCCGAAGGACTAGCTGCAGGCCACATAAAGAATCACAGCCCTACGGGCCGTGACCTGAAATACCAGCCAGAGGTCCTTTTGCACCGTTTGAGGAGCCCGTGAGACAATACGGGTGTCGAAGCCGGTCAGAGACCACGAACATCGAACAGTCGGCCCCATGTCAGTCTGAGCCCTTGAAACACAATTCCCAAACAGAAGCGAGGCTGGGTCCGCGATTTGCAACATTCGGTGTTCCTGACACAATGAGGGCCCCTGTGTTCGTTAAGGGCCACAGTGCCGAACAGGGTCCTGTGGCGTCAAGTGGCCCCGGGTCGGAACGGTGTTTGAAAAGGCCCAAGGAGGGGTCGAAGGGTCTCTCGAGACCAAAGACCAAGGGCCCGATGGCATGGCTGAAGGGTCTGAAAGGCTGGCTGCAGGTCACATCAAGGACCACCGCCCATAGGGCCGTGATCTCAAATGTCACTAAAATGATCTCTTGAACCGATAGGGACCCCTGAGACAGGGCGTTCCTCTATTTCGGCGAGAGATCACAAACAATGAGCAGTCGCTCCGTGTTGGTCCGAGCTCTGGGAGCCCATTTCCCAAGGGAGGGCAAAGCCGGGCCCACACTTTACATTGATTGGACTCCTGTATCGTTTAGGGGCCCCCAGTGCCTGACAGGCCATTCAGCGTCAACAAGGGGCCTCGGATCGGTCAGGGCAAGATTTGTTCAGCAGGGACGGGGACGGGACCACGAATGACATAGGGAGTTTTGCGTTGGCCGGGGCGCTCTGGCGATTAAATGAAACATGAGAACTTAGGATAACTGCTCACACTGAGGTAATACAAGAGTCCTGTGCCAGTCAGGGCCCTTAGTAGCGAACGGTGGGCTCTCCAACCCTATTCCAGCATGGGCCCGTTAAGCGCAACTGGAGTCTATGTATTAATTATTTGACCAACTGCGGCCAGCGGGGATGTTGTTGCGTTAATGACGGATCATGCGTCCATCCGGGGTCAGCTGTGTGTGACAGAAGGCCTCCTGCGTCAGAAAGCGGACCATTGTTATATGATCCATTGTATCATTCCATTGTACCACCCATTGCATTGACCACTGTACCATTCCTCCAACGGCCACCGGATCGGGCAGGGGATACCGCCCCATGCCGCCAGAATGACGGCCGGAAAACACACCGCGGTGGGACAGGACGGCCCTTTTGCCCTTGACGGGCCTAAACAATAACAATGTGCCTTGTAGTGTTTTACTTAAAGGGGGCCTTTTGTCAGAAATAAATCCGGAGTCTCATTTATGTTGAATGGAGTGGATCGAAATGAGTTTTAAAACGCACAGGGCCATCTCAGAGTTCCCTGAGAACGTTCAATATTTTGCAGAATCGAAAGTTTGGACATCAGACAAATGCCATCAAAAGCTTGGAGTCTACGCGCCGGGTACCGTTAGTGTAGTGGTGAACGCGCGTGTGGTAACCGCTGCGCGTCTGGGAAACCACAGGTACGGAGTTCGATTTTCCTTGGTGCCCTCCTTTTCCGCCGTAGTGAGAGGCTGGCGACGCCACATACAGTCCCAGAAGCTGAGTGCGTCATTAAGCCTCGGTGACACGGCCCTAATCCCGAGGAGCAAGGGTAGCGATGACTTGGGTTGCAGTTATCGTAAAACCGAACAGCGTTGGCCACTGCATGTAACACCAGGGGACGGGCGCCGAGCGCGCGACGATGACTATCGTAAAATAATGTTTCTGGATGTCTTTCACAATCCATGCGCAAAGTTCAACAACTTCACTAAACACTTTTTTCAGCTTTGTAGTTGTACTCTGGACAGATTAACAGCTACAGTAAGACGGAAAATAAATATTTTACCTTTACTATTCCAGTTTCACCAATAGACTCCAACACAGTTGAGCGGTGCTGTAAAGACCAAAACGTTATTGCCATCTATCTAAAAGACGCACAGGTAAAATGTACGCCCGGAAAATCTCTAAATCTAAGATTTGGTGTCATAAAGGGTTCAAAGGTACTTTCCCGATGCGTCACCATTTTCGTCCACCTGCTGGCCACGGTCTAATGCTAGCCGCGGGGCCCATGCTCTGCAACCTAAGGAGAACGCAACGCCCGGCATTAAGTTCTTTTTTTTGTTGCTCAGATTTGCGAGCACGCATGCTCAACACTACGTTACATAACTTTCACTACTGCTCGATTTTGACTGGATGTTAAATAGATCCAGACAAACATGGCCAAGCAATGTTGACAAACTGTTGACCCATTTGGACCTTCAATCTGCATTCGCAGAATCCTTGTTACATCTGTACAACGAAAATAAAAATTCTGAAAAAAATCATGAGTTCTGTCGGCTTCAAGAAGTCCACCCGGCCATTGTAACACGAAGAGCGCCGTTGATTTATTTCATACAATCACTTAATGCAGGATTTTGTCCGTTCATTTCGTATAAACTTAAGACATAATTCATTTCGCGGTAGCATATGGCCTATACTCTGGTTGAAGAAAATAAAATGTGTAGAAAGGAAACACGAGAACTTATGATAGGTGTTTAAATTGAGACAATGGGAGAGTCCTGTGCCAGTCAGGGCCCCAGTACTGAAGATTAAACTCTCCACCCCAAGGCCAGCATCGGCGTTTTTGTAGCTATATGTGAGCACACAGCCTCAAAGCTACGTTGCACAATGCTATATAATTTTGTTAATGTCAGTACAAATCGTTGATCCATTTCTAACAACATTCGCAGGGGCATTAATATCTCTGTACAACCCAGATAAAGATTTTAACAGAACTTGAGTTCTCTCAGTTTATAGAGTCCACAGGACCATTGTGAAGCTAAGAGCGCTAGTGATGTATTTCATGCACTCGCTAAACACTCACTCGGGCCTCAAGCGACTTACTCCGATCCAAGGTCACCATGTTCTGGAAAGGATATGACATCGACTATGGCGCATCGAACGGTGAAGATTCTTGCTAATCGGTGCTGCAGGCTCGGAGCGTGGGGTTGTCTGGCGCCAATTTTGGTGGTTTTGGGCGTCTTTCATGACTTTTGACCCGACTCCTGTTCCCCATCTTCTGGAAACGACAGGATTTCGACAATGGCGCATCGATTTGTGATCGGTGATCATTATCTTCATGGTGGTCGGTGCGATGCGGGGGATTATCGCAACACCTAATGTTCCTAACCACTAATGTATCATGGCACCTTTTTCTTCTTCAGCGTTGCAATGCGCGCAATTTCACCGCACCCAACATCGTGTGAACACAGATGCTTAACAGGACTGTAAACAATGAGAGCGTTTCAGTCTCTTCAGGATGGGCAGGCGTTGATGCTTGTGGGCGAGCGGACGCTTTTTTACCTTCGTTCGGGCCCCGGCCACGCCACCACCACACTCCAAATGGCATCTAATAAAGACACCCGTCTCGAATGTCCCTGGCAGTTGGTGAGACGTCGGGCCCCAATCACTATTATTAAGATTAAGGTCCCCGTTAACGGCGTAGGCCCTCTTATAATGTGGGAAAACCCAATGCAAATAGGGATGACGCCTGAACGATCAAAGGTGCCGCGGTAGGTGAACGAAGCGGTTTCCTGTCAACAGCATAAAGCCCTCAGAGCAAGAGAGAGGGACCTTGGACCAATTAGGTGGGCCCTTGAACGATCGGGAATACCCCGACACGCTAAAACATGGGGCCCGGCCACCTGAGCAAAGGGCAATAACCAAGACCAGTGTGCATGAATTAACGCCCCCTGTGTGACCAAGATCAAGAGTCAAGATCTTGACCAAGATCACGGCCAGGGTAACAAAACGGCTCTGACAAGAGTACAGCGCGCTCCGTAAATGAGCTCAAACGGAAATAGCCGCAGATCAATGTACAGGGCCACTAAGAATCCAGTGCATCTATGCGTTGACTTATATGGACCCCAGCAAAAGCACAGGATCCTCCAAAGCAAATGGAAAGACCCCGCAACAATAAGAAGGGCCCCTGAGCAACCGAGTATGCTCCGGTATATGGGTCTCGGCAACAGCGTCTAGAGCATTCCGGGCCAATCGACTAATTATTTGAGGGCACTTGATCGAGGGTGCCCAGGCATGTAAGCAGATAGTGGGACCCTGCTATGGCAAGACCCCACATTAAAACAGGAAGTACCCAGGATCCAACGTGCAGAGCCTCGAACGACGGAATGTCCCGGAGCAGCCCGATAGGACCCTCCGAAGGCATTAGTAGCGCCCTTGACCGAATATGGAGGGACCCCGAACGATCAAGCGTCCCCGAGCAGATCAACAAACGGGACCCCGACAAGAGCGTAGAGACATTCGCGAGTGACAGGAAATTGGGAGAGCCCTTAGGCCCTCTTCACCTAATACACAATCGTCACATCTCACGCAATCCACACTTTACGCTTCTGGTCACCGCAACTATGCTACCAGTCGGGTTGCGAGGCACGTTCTGAGCTTGAAACAGACCCTCCCCTCCCCTGACGCTCAGCGAGTCCTGGGCTCGTCGTATTCCGACAGAGCGCTTCAGCCATCGGCCACCACTGATTGTCAGCTGCTGCTGTGGCCGTGCGTCACATCTCTCCGATGAATGCATGAGGATACACCATGCAAGATAACCTCAACCACCTCGCCTGAATGGCGTTTCACTGTCGGAGTTTCATTCATTCGCAAGGTGGGTGGAAATACCAGACCGTCAAAGCAGTTCCAAAAAATATACATATAGAAGGCTCACTTAAATAGGTTCCAAGAATAAAATTGTCGTGGTGATGGAAGAACAAGATGTCTTGCACGTGGACATGAACGCACTGGAAATTGCTAATGGTCCAACGTTCTGCTTCCACAAGCCTACTGAGGGTTCATCGTATGAGACTATGTCACCAGTTTTGTGATATTTTCTTCATATATTGTTTTTAAAAAATTCTGATGAAATATCACGCATTAGTATCCTCAAACCAAAACTCCCTGCATCCCAACACAGACAAATTGTTCACAGATTTCAGAAACAGCAGAACAGCAGAACAGATTTTCGTCGCGAAACATGCATGCCCCGATGCAGTCGCAATGTCTCACTGTTCTTGAAACCCGGAGCAAAAAGTAAGCTATTTTATCTGGACGTTGGCGAGCGACTGCGAGACGATATCGCCCTTCTCCGGCACCTGCCAGCGCACGCCACGGTAGGTGGCGCGCCGCTCGCCATCTGTCTTCAGGTCAGGCGCCACCTGCTCGAAGATCTTCTTCTTGGGGTTGAGCTGGGCGTCGGCGCGCCGGACGAAGCCCTCGCAGGTGACTATGTCGCCTGGCTGCGCCTCCGCCGGCGGATCCAGGATCTCTACGCGGTCGGGCGTGCTGGCGCACATCACCATGGCCTGCGACGTCACGCCGCGCATCTTGGCTGGCTTCAGGTTGCAGAGAAGCACGGCCATGCGGTTCTGCATCTGCCCCACTGGCACGAACTTGACCAGGCCAGAGACGACAGTACGCGTCTCCGGCTCACCAACGTCCACCTGCTCCACGTATAGGCTATCAGCATCTGGGTGCTTCTGGGCCGAGACGATGCGGCCCACGCGCAGATCCAGCAGGCCTATGTCCACCACGTCGCCATCACCCGCCCCCACCGCCGGCTTGCCTTCCGACTTCGAAGCAGACTTCTGTTTCGGTTTGGCCTTCTTCTCTCCTTTCTTCTCAGGTGTGGCTTTTGTGTCAGCACTTGGGGTTGGAGGAGGGGCAGAAGGTGCAGTCTGGGGAACTGCTGCAGCAGCAGCCTGACTGGGTATGGAAACCTGAAACAATGACATTCCCTCCCTTACATGCATCCCCTTTTCATCACAAATTTCACACACCTAAGCACCATCTTGTGGCTTGTCCCGACAACCAGCGACAAAGCACTGGGATGACAAAGGCATAACTTAAAATCCATATTATTTTCATCACAGCACTGGTCTTTGCTTGCAGAGCAGCACCTACAGCAAGCTTGGAACACACCACAGAGGTATGAAGTCTGACCCTTGCAGGCACATCACATTTTACTTATTAGCACAAAGAGACTTCACTTCTGGATGCTGGTGTTGCATGAATGGTTAAGTATTCTAACCACCTTTGGCGACCAGGCGGGGGTTAATCTATTGCCAGGTCAGGTAAATTGGGTGACAGTGTGAGCACATTTAGCAGGACATACATTTTAGCATGCCAGGTACATTTAGCTGGGACTCTGACCCATATGTAATTCAGCACTTCATGAGACTCAATTCCTACAAAAAGCAGTGGTGCTCATGCAAAAATAATACATAACATGATTTTATATCTTAGGTATAAAATATCTTGATAGTTTGCTGGAATTAATCCACTAAATCAATATGCATTACATCTAACAAGCTGTCATGAACATGTTAAGACCATGAAACAGGTAAGACAGGAAGCAGCTCTTCCTATTTCAAAACTGGCTTCTTCCATTTGCCCTCATACACACAGTGGCATATTTACATAATACCCACCTGCTTCACTCCATTCCTTTCTTCAGCTTCCACAAGTGCTTTCATCCAGTGATCCACATCTTTCTGGAGTAGCCTGTTCTCCTCCTGTAGTTTCTGCAACTCTGCATTCTGAGCTGCAGGCTGTAGGCTGGCAATCTGACAAGGGGAGGTCAAATATAGCTGATACACCAAGAAAAAGGTAAAATAATGAGGTACTGTATATCAATAGTTCTTACAAGAATTTCACATCATAGTATGCATTAATCTGCCACAAATTGGTATTGGGAAGAACGAAGAACAGTTATGAGTATGTTAAACAGCAGATTTCATCCAAAATCTTAATTGGGATTGATGATAAATGACAACATGAGATATTAATGAGAAGTGATGACAGCCCACCAGCAGTCAGTGCAATGAAATTCCATGCTGTCAAACTATTCATAATGCAAGGTACATATGCACAATGACACCAACCAGGGGAATTTTGCCATTTATTCTCATACTCTGTGCCCTCATTATTGCAATGTTTTGATCAGGAAATCACGTTCACCTCAGTTTGACAGAAAACACCCAATAAGTTCACCTCAAATGGAGCAAAATGCCAAGCAACTACAGACCTGCTCCTTCAGCCACCCAATCACATCCTCTGCTTGCCGTGCCCTGCTCTCCAAACGCTTGACGACTTCAGCACTCATTCTCCAGCCCTGCTTGTTTGCACTTAATGCAAGCCTGAGGGGGTTCGCATATGCTGTACAAGCACGAACCACACAAAACATGCAATTGGTTTCACCTACTGGAACTCTACCAGCCACCACGCCGAGCTAAACTATCAAAGGTACTGTGGCGTCAAAAGTCCCAGCGTCCTTATGATAACACCTCGTGAGCTCTAGAAGCGGCAACAGGAGCGCGGTATGACGCCAGATAAGCCAACCCAACGTCAGCATCAGCCACGGTACATACCCCGGAAAACCGGGCGACGGAGCGTCACTTCGGTTGCCCATGCGCACTTCTTGACGTGTGAGTGGGCTAAATCACTGCTTTAACCATACATTTGCCATTGCATGCAGCAACGCACATGTTAGTGATGCGACACTGCGTTCAATTATTCATAAACTCACATACGACGAGAACCATTGCCAACCACAGGGTACTAACCACGGGTGTAGTTGTCACTGTAATCAGTGCGGGGCAACAGCCCCCAACTAGGGTTCCAGTCCCTCCCAATCTTTCTGAAGAAAATGGGCCAAGTTTCAAGAGCAGCCTGTTTGTTCGCGCGTTTCTGGCAGTCTGTGGATCCATTTTTCACAGTTCGCCGCGCACAATACACTTAATATGCAAAACTATGTTCCACTGAGCGCGGCGCCGGTGGCGGACGCGCCGTGGTCTCTCCCCACCTCGCGACCCCAGTGGCCTTCTAGCTGATCGGTTACCATGTTCCGTAAAGAGTTTTAGTGGCAGTGTGAGAGTGAGAGTGCCTGTGCGCGAGTGAGAAGGAGAAGGGATCATTTCGCTGATCACGTGAATCGCCACCGACTACCGTGACTACCGTGACTTCCGAGACGGGACCACCACCTGCCGGCTGTGCAGCGACGGGCCCGAGGTGACAACTACCGGCGGCTTCTGAGCCTATAAACAACGCGACTACAGCCATCTCCGCTCCAGTTCTGGAGCGGACAAGCTAGCAAGCTAACGGCAAGCCTGCGTTCTGCAATGAATCGCCAGCTGCTCCGCCTATTGGTGACCTTGGCGGTCACCCAGGTTATCGTGCGGGCCGCCCTGCCGGCCCCAAATCCCTGGCTCTCGGCTCGGCGCGTGCCCTCGGGCCAAGCGGGGTCAGCTGTTGAGTGCGGACTGCGCCAGGTCACCGTGGCAGCCAGGGGCGAGTCCAGGGTTGCCTTGGTCGACTTGGGTGCGGGCGTGAGCGCGGGCCGGCCCTCTGGTGGCCGCGGGCCTGACTCAGGCGACAGCCGCCCGGCTCGCCGGGGCAAGCGATCGCGGCGTCGGGGCTGTAGGGAAGGGGTGGGGTGGCGGGCGCCCGGCGATTGCAGTGCGGGTGAACTATACATCGCGCAATTAAACATACAAAGTCTGAAGCCCAAACTGCCAGATCTACGTCACAGTCTAGCTGATATGCATCAGTTTGATATCCTTGCACTCAGCGAAACGTGGCTGCGGCCGTCTGTCCCCGCCCGGCTGCTGAACATTGATGGGTACCGGCTGTACCGACACGACCAGCCTGCAGACAGCGGACTGCCTAGGGGTAACAGAGGGATCGCAGTTCTGGCGCGAGACTCGTTTGATGTGACTGTTCTGAAAACGCCTCATACTGCCGTTGGTTCATCGAATCTTGAGATTATTTGGACCCTTGTTGGACCCGCTAAAGCAAAACAGACCATTTTCGGGTCATTGTACCGACATCCCACTAACACAGCCCGGCAGGTGTCTGATGATCTCGGCGATTTTGAGAACCAGTTACAATGTATAATGTCCACATATGACTGCCCAATAGTGATCGTCGGTGATTTAAACATCAACCTGATTGGCTCGAGCACAGGCACTGGCTATTAGAAATTGATGCAGCTGTTACGGTCTTACTAATCTGCATATGTGTAACGGTTCCTATCCAACGTACCGTCCTGCTGGCTCGCTGTTAGGACATTGCGATCACACATCACAAGGACCTCATTCAACGCTGTGGTGTCACCACCGGTCACTATAGTCCGCGTGACTTCACGCGAATATTGCTGAAAGTATCGAAAGAGAAACGCCAAACCAATGTCATCACATCCGCTGCCTGAATCGAGTTGATTTTGATTATTTCAATTATTTACTTGTGAGCGCCGACCGGTCTCCCGTCTATGGAAGTGCGACGACGTCTGACAAGTGGGATTCTTTTCTAGGAGTGTTTACGCCCCATTTGAATGCCGTCGCGCCTGCCCGGCACATTAAACTGCGCCATCAATCCGCCCCGCCTGTCCCAGCTGATACGCGTGTGTCGATGGCTCGTCGCCGCGTCGCTCTAGCGTGCTGTTCGCGTGCTGAGTACAAGACACCCAATAAGCAGACACGAGCAGCTATTAGACGGGACTGTCGCGATCATATTGGGAAGCAGATTTCTGAGGCAGGTCACTCCGGCATGTGGTGGTGCGTTAAATCGATTATTGGCAGTAAACAGGGTACGTCAGCCACACCTAACATTCATCCTGATACTCTGAATGGCTACTTTGTGAAGGTGGGGCCTACGACTGCCGCCAGCGTGCCGAACCGAGGCACGGCTTTGCCAGTTAGGCTCCCCCGAGTTATGACCTGCTCATTTAAGGTGCGTCCTGTGTCATGCGATGAGTTGATTGCATCTATGTCTACAATGAACCCGACGCCACCCTGTGGACTAGATGATCTTAGCACGCAGCTCTTACAGAAGTATTTTCGTGGTGTCTGCTGTCCCCTACTTGACGTCATCAATAGCAGTCTCATTGAGGGAATGGTGCCCAGCGCCTGGAAACACGCTCTCGTCACAGCGCTCCCGAAAACCAGTGATTTGAACGATCCTACCAAATTTAGGCCATTCTCTGTTGTGCCAGCGATAGCAAAGATAGTCGAGCGTATTTTTCATCATCAACTTAGTTCATATTTTAACGAGCATGAGTTATTCTCGCGTACACAACACGGATATCGTACGAATTTTTCAACGGAGACCGCACTTACTGTAGTGACTGATAAAATACTCACCGCGATGGATGCTGGGGAGATCGCTCTGCTTGTTTTGATAGATCTGACAACACTGTTTCGACGTTGTGGATCACCAGCCTCTCTTATCCAAGCTTAAGATATACAATATTGACCCGAAATGGTTTGAAAGCTACCTTTGCGAGCATACCCAGCAGGTTCAGGTCAGATATCCTTCAGGACATACTGCGCGCTCTCGTAGTCTTCCGAAGGGGATGGGGATATTTCAGGGTACCGCCCTCGGGCCGCCCCTATATTCCATTTTCTCCATCGATCTAGCGTTATATTCAGGAGGCGATACAGTGATACAATATGCCGTTGACACACATATTTTGGTTACTGGAAAGAAAAGTGCAATGCAACATCTTGTCGCAACCATGGAGAGTACCTTGTCAATTGTATTGGACTGGTTTCACAATCACTCTATGAAAGGCAATACAACAAAAACAGTCGATAGTTTTTGGGACAAAGGCCATGCTGCGTAATATGCCTCCTGTGCATGTCAAGTTCGGATCAGCTGTCATCACTGAAAGCAGGACTGTCAAAAACCTTGGTGTGGTGATGGACAAAAATCTCACATTTGAACCTCACATTGATCAGCTTGTTGCCAGGTCGACGGGCGCTCTAATGGCCCTGTCCCATGCCAAGCATGTACTCCCAAAAGACACCCTCGTTCGCATTGTCGGAGCTCTAGTTCTTTCCTCTATTAGATACTGTATAGCACTGTGTGGTACTCACGGGGCCACCCAGCTCCATCGCGCGCAAAAACTCGTGAACTTCTGTGCGCGGGTTGTGAGCGGAAGGAGGTGTGACCATATATCGGATGTTGTCAGGGATCTATGATGGCTTAGTGCTGATCAGCTCGTCAGATATCACATGTTGTGCCTGCTCAAAAAAGTCCTACTCACAGGTCAGCCACCAGATATAGCCGCGATGTTCACACGTGCTGAGCACACTCATGAAACACGACAGGCTAACCAGCTGAGGCGCCCCCGAGCGGTGAGCAACTCTGGCACTCGCCTATTTAGCTACAGACATCGGATTTGTTCAACTGCCTGCCGCCCGACTTGCGCAATGTTCAGTCTAGGCCGCTTCAAGCGCCAACTTATGGAGTTGCTACTGGGTGAGGCGAATGTCGACACATGAGTGGGTGCGTGTGTGAGTTCGATTGTGTGTGATACCACAATGTGAATGCAATAGCGTGATTCACCGAGATGATCCCTTGACCGATGTGTGGTGCGTTAGGCTGTTTTTACTAGGTTTCACATTGTCTCTCTTATGCCCGTTTTTAACAATGACGACGTGCAACTTTTAAAAAGTCATTGGATTTTGTGGAAAGTTACGAAATATATGGTCCATGGACATATGCCCCAGGATTAGCAGGTACCTGCTCTTTACCGATACGCGTCAAAGATCGCCGAACGGGAACGAGTGCGTAGTTCCGCAAAATGGATTGTGGATTTATCAGGAAATATGTCCAAATCCAGGACAGTGTTGTAATTTCCCGCTCAGCTTGAAGGGGAAGGACTCCAGCCCCGCCACACGAATTTGACTCCAGCTGCTCAACTTTGAGGAAAAGGTGCGTGTCGAATGCAGCGCCAGTGCCGCCAGGCGCACCAGCATGGAAATGCCCTTGGTGAAATGTCACTTGACTATGTCAACGGTCGTCATGACGACAGGGTGAGTGTGGCGAGACACCAGGGACCTGGGAATCGGCATTCTGATGCAGGGTTTCGTAATATATTCGTATTATTACTGATATATACGATATCACTGGCTGGCTGATTTATCTGCTGACTGGCAGACAATTTTTTTAGACGGGGGGGGGGGGGGGGGTCCGTCCGTAATTGCTTCATTACAGGAACAAAGAAAACACAAATCGCAAATGCACAAACGTCTTCCACGCCACAGCGTGGCCTTGGCCACAACCCAAGGCCCTAGGCCACGACCTCTGCTGCCTCGGCTGGTATTCTCTGCAAACCCTGACGTCGGCGGAGAGCTGGCCGGCGCCTGCAGCAGAACAGCGTTCAGTTCAGACTCCTCTACTCAACAAGGGGTAGGTGTCGTTTTTCACGGCTCAGGCCCTCCCCCTGGTCTTGTGGAACGATGCACCTGCTCGGGGATACAGAAACTGAGGAGTCATGGAAGATGAGCCTCTTACTTGTAAAAGCGCACTGTTGGCGCTATGGAAGCTTATTTGAAAATTACTATTGCCTCCGCCCCCGCTTCTCTTACTCAATTGCCCTTCACCGAATCTTCCGGAAACATGCCATACAGATGCTAACGAATTATTTTCTTAACCCCCTTTATTTTCAAAAGTTTGTAGAGTGGCTGACCCCACCCCCTGCAAAAAGGAAACACCACCGCTGTTACGGCTTGCATACACCACCAATTACGCATAACTGGAGCAGCAGCAGTATGAGGGCTGTGCTGCGATTCACGTTAGCCCGACGGTTCGTTGACAGGAGACAATCGAGACAGCGGTGAGGAGAGGGGCGATCACTGATGGCAAAATGCGCGTGCAATCCACAGATGGTCTCTCATACGCGGTTAGCCGTGAGGGTAAGTTCTACAGGAACTTACCCTCACAAGAACAGGAAGGTCAAACCTCTGTCATCAACGAAATTTTCTCATGCATCAAAATCCACTGGCGCTATGAACTAACAGGAATTTGTTCGCATTTGATATTGAAGCGAGCATCGAATATGATGAAATAATATAACAAGGTATACTTTTAAGTAGAAAAAGCTGCTCTAGACGAGACAATCTCTCTGCTTAGCACAATGTCCCTCAATACGGCATTGTTTGATTACTCCATCGCACCTTGCACAACATTAGGAGCCCATTGACGGCAGCTGACCTGTCATGCTCACGAACGCCAGATATGAACGGTTCGACAATAATATTCTTATTAGCCTCGATCGTTGCGTGGTCAATGAAATGGCAGAATTTGAATGACGTTTTCATGGCGTCATGGTTGCTTGGGTGACCATAAAGTCTCCCCGAAAAAGTCTTCAGCACATCTTCACGGGCGTATACCTCAGAAGCTAGAGGGCTTCGGTTTTGAGATGGGCAAGACCGTGAACTTCACTGAATGATCTCCTAAATCGCTGTTTCATTTCAAAACTCCTTACAAAGGTGGAGACTCCCTTTAACACAACCACGGGAGGGAAGCATGACAGGAAGACCAGCACCGCCTTCAACTCACCGGCACGCGACTGCCACGGGAGGGAAGCATGACAGTGACCAGCACCGCCTTCAACTCACCGGCACGCGACTGGACAGAACCGCCGGATGAGACCGTTACCACAATTTACACGCGTATCCTTCGGTTACACATTTTAAGTGAAATTCAATCTGTCAGAGGGAAAATGGCCGAACACCGTGTCACCTTTAACGTTTTCTGATGGCCAATGTTACCGCATGCGACGAATACATTATGAGGTAGCATTGGGAGTGTGGAAATTACGCTGAGGTGATTTTCCAGAAACTGAATGCAGGATTCTTAGGCTAACAGTTATCAGTGTACCAGGTATACCTTTGATCTTCGGTTAACCAGGGGGTACTGATCAAACGACATCATCAAACGATGATTACTGTCCTTAATTCTTACTTATTACTTTCAACGAAATAAAAATATGGGGTGTTATTTTGGGGCCTTCAGCTGCCGACTTGGCGTGAGATGGGCCACCTCCTGTAACTCACCAGCACACGGCTAAACACAGCCGTGGGCGGGGAGCGTGAGAGCGGCCAGCACCTCCTGTAACTCACCAGCACACGGCTAAACACAGCCGCGGGCGGCGAGCGTGAAAGCGGCCAGCACCTCCTGTAACTCACCGGCACACAGCTAAACACAGCCGCGGGCGGCGAGCGTGACAGCGGCCAGCACCTCCTGTAACTCACCGGCACACGGCTAAACACAGCCGTGGGCGGGGAGCGTGAGAGCGGCCAGCACCTCCTGTGACTCACCGGCACACGGCTAAACACAGCCGTGGGCGGGGGGCGTGAAAGCGGCCAGCACCTCGTGTAACTCACCGGCACACAGCTAAACACAGCCGCGGGCGGCGAGCGTGAGAGCGGCCAGCACCTCCTGTAACTCACCGGCACACGGCTAAACACAGCCGTGGGCGGGGAGCGTGAGAGCGGCCAGCACCTCCTGTAACTCACCGGCACACGGCTAAACACAGCCGTGGGCGGAGAGCGTGAAAGCGGCCAGCACCTCCTGTAACTCACCGGCACACAGCTAAACACAGCTGCGGGCGGGGAGCGTGAGAGCGGCCAGCACCTCCTGTAACTCACCGGCACACGGCTGAACACAACCACGGGAGGAGAGCGGTAGAACCAGCACCTCCTGTGTCACCGGCACACGGCTCAAAGGGAATGTTCCACAGTAGAATATGTGGAAGAAAACATGGAATTGAAGAAATAAGCTCACTTTAACTATTGCTATACCTTCAAGTGACAAAGACTGCTCTTAGGCATGCATTTTTGTTTAGTAAATGTGCTCCTCGATGCGTCATTATTCGATACGTCATCGTACCTCGCACATTTATCGAGAGCATATCAACGGTCGTTATATCTGGAAATCGTGCTCGCGAACGCCAGATAAGAGCGGTTCGACAATTCTGCTTTTCTTGGCCTTGATCACCACATGGCCAATAAAATGGCAGGATTTAGATGACGTTATCATGGCGTCAAAAAAACATGGACGCCATCGAGGTAGTCTCTCCGAAAGTCTGCACATTTCGCGAGCACAAAGGTTGGAAACTAGAACAGGTTAGGTCTTAAGAAGGGTGGGGCTGTGAGCTGCACCAAGTGATCTCCGCGATGGCTTTTTCATTTCAAAGCCCCATACAGATGTAGAATACCCTCTTTAAGCGCGCGAGCCCTTACGTCAAGTATCAGGATCAAACTTGCATGCCTCAGCGGCAATGACTCTTGCCAATTGCCCTTAAAGAATAAACTGATTTGCATTCACAAGCTTCTGACATCGAGGTCATCGGCAGTAGCGCAAGTGATGATGACAGCTCCTGCACCGCGTCATTATTTCGTAAGTAATTCTGCAGGAGTGCAAACGCCCTTCATATGTACATATGTATATATATATATATATATATATATATATATATATATATATATATATATATATGTGTGTGTGTGTGTGTGTGTGTGTATATATGTATATATATATATCTATATCTATATCTATATCTATATATATATATATCTATATATCTATATCTATATCTATAAATATATATATATATATATATATATATATATATATATCGCGCGCCCGCCCGGTCAGTGCAGCACTGCCGACAGCTGCCACGCAATACAGCATACAGCCTGGGCACACATGCACGTACAGATCAGGCAGCTCGGAAACGGCAAGCTTCTACATCAACCAGAGCGCGATTGAGCTGCATACTCGCCACTGTGGTCCTTACACAGATAGCTGTAGACAATCCTAGCAGACTTGGTGCCTTGCACCTCTGAACGCAGCGTCGGGGTGTACACCAACGCCGATCGGTTGTTCAAATCAGCTCCGCACACACACCGCAAGGCCGCTGGCGCGTCTCTGGTACGTGCGAATCATCAGTGAACACCTGGTGGTGGCCGCCCGCACGTGGTGAGGAGTTCCGGTGAGTTTAATCGAGTCACCACGGTCGGGGCATCATAGCGGCATTGGTGCATGAGGTCCAGGGCGCCGGCGTGCGTGGCGCTGGCCCGCTGGACTGCATCGCGTACAGCGTTTTTGGCTCGCAAATGATCAGCCAGACCCCACATGACCCCAGCGCAGCAATACGCTGGGTTCTGACGCAGACACAGACGGTGTCCACGGTGGCCCGGACGGTTCGTGCTTGAGGTCCAGGAGCGGCGCTAAAATGAACACAAGTTAAGATAAGTAACTGGGGTCTTCGCCAACACGTTTTATTTGGCGTAGTGAAGCGCAGCGAGGTGACCATGCAGGTAGCATAAAGCATTTCAGCTAAATTAAAGTGATGAACGGCCTCCCACCACTGTTAAAATAACCATCATTTGCAAACACTCGACACATCAGAGCGCGCGGGCGGCGACGGTCGCATCACTCGAACCAGAAGCTGACGGAGCAGCTGACACTGAGACTGCGGACGTAGTGCCACCAGCCGGGCGGCATGTAGAGCACCTCCCCGGGGCCAAGCACCGTCTGCCAGCCGCGCGCCTCGGCGAACAGCGGGAAGCGCACCAGGTCCGGTCGCTCGGCGTCGACGCGGCTCGTGTTGTGCAGCAGTGCGCCCTCGTGCGGGTACAGGCGCGCCGCCTCCTCCGGCGCGAACACCTGCACGTATTTGCAGCCGAACACCTGCACCAGACAGTTGTGCTTGGGGTCGTGGTGCAGCGGCGAGACGGTGCCAGCCGGCCCCAGCCACACGTTGGTGTGCACCGACTGCCGTTCGCCCAGCCAACAATACTCAGGCGCGGCGATGTCGGCGGCGAGCTCCGGGATCTGGTCAAATAGCTCATACTGGGCCAGGTAGCCGGGCCGGCCGGCCGCTGGGCGGCGCACGTGCTCGGCCACGAACTGACCGAGCGTCATGAGCCGCTGCGACCAGCCGGCGTCCGTGTAGCGGGCGCCTAGCTCCACCGGCACGGTTCGGTGGCCGGCGATGCGCTCTAGGCCGGCCAGCGTCCAGCGCAGCGCGCGCCAGTGGCCAACGCACTCGGTCAGCACTGCCGCCCGGCGGCCTAGCATCTCGCGCGAGAACGTCTCCAGCGACGGGCAGCGCAGACGCGCCAGAGGGGTGGTGATGGGCGGTGCGTCGCTCGGCGTGCGGAGGTGTGCCTCGCCGAGCGTCCCATCACTGATGTGGAATGGATCATTTGCAGGACCCACCACATGTGAGCCCTGAACAGGGTCACCCCTGTGTTGCTCCTCTCGTTCCGTGTCCTCGTAGTGATGAGTCAATGTTTCGTGACAGCGAGTTGCCAGTCTGGTCAGCAAGCCATCAAGCACTGGCTTTCCCATGATCAAACCCATATCACAGCAGAGGAGGGCATCCCTCAATGCCTGTACATCAATCTGGTGTGATTTCAGGTACTGGTTTAAATGTGCAGCTGAGCAGTACAGAGCAGCATATGAATAAAGCTTCCTCCAGACATCAGGAACCCAGGCCCAATAGCTCGTATTAAATTCCTCCCAACAGCGATCACTAAGAGCCCTTGCCATCACTTCATCTTGGTGGGCATCTTCTCCCATCACTAGGCTGATATACTGGTATGTGGCCTGAATAAACATTTTCTGCACACTATCACCCACCATGGTCAGCTCATCTGGGTCTTCAAATACAGAAATGGCAGAGGAAGGAAGATCTGGTGCAAACTCCAGTAGTGATGAGTACATCTCAACTTTGCCACTCCTGTTTGGATGGGATGGAGGAAATATGTCAGAACACGCCACAGCACTGCTCATATTTCAATAGATCAAAACCTGACCTATACCTTATAAAGTAATACAGAATCACATCTTATATGTAACAGATGTTCCAGAAATTATCAACTCTAACTTGACATGGTCTGCAAATTGGGCTAGATACATGTCTCTTTTGCAAGAGCCTAAAGCTCACCACTACTTATTCCACACTTGCAGGTATAACAAATTTGTCATGCCTGCTGGAACTGCACATATCTATACCCAACATATTTTTTACATCACTAGCTGTCAGTACAAATCAATGTCATCCAAGTTACATCTGTATTAATGAGGATGACTGGTGTGTTACAAAGCAAGTTTACCAAGACACAGTGCACATTTAAAATGTGACCATAAAGGGAGGAGCAATATTACATGATAAGACAAATTTGAAATGCACATCTTTTTACCTGTGCCTTGTTTGTCACATTTAACAGGTAAACCAAAAATGGCACCCTGAAAACAGCACAGTTCCCTTGGTTCTTAAGGCTTGTGACCTTACAAAAGAGACAAATGTCCTTTGACTGCCTGAAACACCATAGACAAGCACAGTTTAATGATAAGTGCTTTCAGATGAACCAAACCACCCACTGGGAAACCAAACCAAGTGAACAATGTCCCTACATCTTTAAGCCAAAACTGTTGAATTAATAAGGTACTAGGCAAATACTTCTCACAAACCATACCCATCAGTAGTGTGCCAGGCTCTTAAGCAAATTAAATGGAGCAGTTCCCAGTTCATCACTTAATGCAAAAGGGCATTAAGAACAGGTCTGTAATTTTGGCAATGAATGGAGCACCGGTCTCCTCACCGATATGCTATTTACTGTTGCCTGCACATGTGAAATGATGCAAAATTTGTACCCTCCAGGTTGCCAGCCATCATAGTTTCAGGTATGCAAACTGCCATAACAGGTTAATTATTAAACTGAGTTTTCAATGGTTCACCTATTCCCTACCTCTTTCGAAGCGTAGTCATAGTATATTATAACGCGGCGGCCGCCACCCACGGCCTCGCGTAACGAATCGTCACTTCTACACCAAAACTACTCCATATCAAAGACAAAAAATATTGCCCGATGATCCTAAGTCTGGCGGAAGGGCCGATGGGGAGGCTCACTTGTCGTTAAAGCGTACTGAGTGCGTGTCGTGTTGTGATGAAATAAATATATTGCTGCGGTCTGCTTCGCTTGCTATAATCTTGCTGGACAAAAATGAGCCACGTTAACGTGTCACTCCAAAATACCCTCTCCCTTCCTGTGCGCCGGACAGCATGAGCTGGTTTAACGCAATCGTTGCCCGCCCTTATGCCGGAAGTAAATTTTCCCCTGGGAGGTAACTTTGGGTCCGTCGAGGGAAAAGAGGCCTTGCATTGGCTCACAAAAAATCCTGTCAACGTTGCCGCTCTTGGCCGCCTCACGCTCCGAGCAACGATGGTTCCAAGATATCGCGAATGGTGGTTCATAGGCGCCGTGAGGCGGCAGTTGTAATGCGTCGCGAAAAGGTTGTTCTGAGGCGTTGCGAAATGGTAGTTATCATCGCGAGATGACACACAGAACTGTGATTTACTCGCCCATTATTGAAATTTATAAGTGTTTATATAAGTTTATATTATATTACTGAAATATAAATGACTGTGACAAGTGACAACCGATTGGTTATTCTGAGTCATCTGTGCAGCAAATGAAATTCAAAATAAATTCCCTGAAAATGCTGCTCACTTGCAACATCGCTTGCCCCCTGGTCATCCAGAGCCTAGCAGTCCAGTTAGCCCGCCGTCCCCGTACGAGCTGCGAGGAGCAACCAGGTTCAGCCGGGCGGACCTCAGATGTTTTACATGGACTTTTCCATACAGTACAAGAACAGCGCCAATTCTTGCACGAGACCTCCACCCTTAAGACTTAAAAAATGCGCGCCAAACACCATACACTTGATAAACTTATGCATTTCTAAAAAAAATCACATGGAACAACGGTATGGGCACCCACCGCGTGCGAGCCCATCTGATCTGACCTGATCTCACTGCCTGTTCACAGACCGCACACGATCGCCGTCGACGGCCGCACGGAATGACTGCGGCCCACAGACTGTCGCGCATTCCATCACACAGGCTGCGTCTGGTTGATGCCGAAGTACACCTGCACGCCCCAGTGGTCACTGGGGAAGCTTTGCGTGCCCTGCACCTTCTCCAGGCCGACTAGACCAAAGTGTTCGGCCGTGACCTGATCAGTGGCCCGCAAGTAGACGCGGTCAAAGCGCAGCCGCGGCTTGAAGCGCCCCGGCATCTCCAGGTTCGTGTTGCGCTGCATGTCCCACGTGAACTCCACCTCCTTCCGTCGGCCGCAGCGTTCCCACAGGTCGGACACGCCAGCCGGCAGTCCCCCGACGGCCGTCACCTGCGGCGCCGTGCAACTCCGTGAGCAGCATGTACACCGGAGCGGCCGGTGGGGGAATAGCGACATTTACGGCTGGTGTAGTGCACCATCAGAGTTGTGTAAGACGGCACAGCCCAACATTAGAGCTGTGACGACGGCACAGCCAATCACCAGAGCTGTGATGATGCCACGGTCCATCATCAGAGCTGTGACGATGGCACAACCATCATCGGAGCTGTGATGAAGGAACAGCCCATCATCAGAGCTGTGACGATGGCACATATCTCGATAAGAGCTGTGATGATGGCACAACACATCATCAAAGCCGGGACGATAGCACAGCCTATCGTCTTAAAGATAGATCCAAAGCCAAGTTCAGATACAGCCAATACAATATTCCAGTGCCAGTTGTCGATCGGTTTTAAATTGGATGAATCATATCCTGGCGAGTCCTGCATGTAAACATCTGGTGCATTAGAAAAAGAAACATCCAAAGGTATTTATGTCACATGTCAGCTTAGCATTTCCTCACCCTAAATTTCACCAAAAACTTCCAAATAGAAGCATAACTGCTGGCCCAAGGCCAAGTTTTACTGAAGGCACTGTATTCCACTTAATCTGCATCTCATTTGGCAAATTAATGTCTCGCTCACTCGATTCTACATAGGGATGTGTCATCTCCCTGGTACCGTCATCACATTCTCTTCTCCGAAGCTTAGCGTGGGGTCTCACATCGCTGTCACGGAGGTTGAGGTCGCCCGCCAACAGAACGACGTGATCAGCACTGGTAGCCTTCAGCCGGGAGAAGCACTCTTTGAGCTGTTCCTGTCGCACCGCCGTGTGCTCCTTGGTGGACTCCAAGTGTGTGTTCAGAAGTGTCAGCTTCAACGGACCAATGTGGGCCTGAGGAGAGCAAGAAAAGGTACGTTATGAACGTGGTAATCGTTACTCTTCAAAACTTGGCAAGCTGTCTTGTACAGAAACGACTGTGATATGAAGGTCACATTTTGAACAATACTTGCAACAATACCCACAACTGTCAGCAATGGAAAACACCAAAAACCAGGTGCACAGGTAATCACACAAATCAAGCACAGGACTTCAAAGCAAAAAATCAAAACATCGGGTGATGATCAAATGGAAAAGGGCTTTAAAAAACGTAACATCACATTACATTTGAAAATATTTGTGGAATTTTCCAATTCATTTGATTCCATTTGGCTACTTTCAGCACAAAAACATCTCTTCTGCCCTTACCTCGACACAGATCATATGGAATTCCGGCTCGCTGCAGCAGCGCCCGCAGTATGGCAGTTTTCAACACCTTAGCAATATTGAAGAGTGGGTCCAACCCAAATGCTAAAATGGCAGCAACCACATTATTCCATACAACCAAAACCCACCAGACGAATCTCTCACCTCCACGCAGAGGAGGTTCCGAAGCATGCTGGTGCGCGGGTACTCGACGATCCGGTGGGCGTCGCAGTACACGCGGTACTTGCGCAGCAGCGTGGCGGTGAAGTAGTCGCGATCGGCGCCGGCAGACAGCAGCTGGTACTGCGGCAGCTTCGTCTCGATGTACACACACGTGTTGGGCGTCAACTCCTGCAGGAACACGATGTCCGGGGCCTCCCTGGCGATCAGCGCGAGCGTGTCCACCATCAGCGCGGCTGCAGAGAATGCTACGTGTGGCCACAGAACACGTTAGGCGTTGTCATACAGAACATGCTGGGCTCATCACAGAACACGCTGCGCCCGGCAACAGAGAATACGCCGGGTACCACCACAGGGCACGCCGAGCGCGCCCGGAAACGCTCAGTTGGGAAACGCGAAGACAAAACCGTCGTGAAATTACCATTTCCAACAAAACACACAAATGGCAACAGGTATGCCAAAACCTACATAGGTATGTCCAAGAGCACCCAAAATGTGCTTAAGACAACATATGTTGATTTGTGTCCTGTCTGGCCGTACACTAACCAATAGGACATCCATCCACAACGTGTATCCCTTAGCAGTGGACATCAATGTCCTTTTAACATTGACATTGCATTGCACAAGAAAAAAGTAATAGCTAAAAACTATGTGATAACTGCCAAAGCAAAGAAGAAAGTAACACCTACATTTCAATGATTTTGCACACCATTTTGGTTCGCTTCTTAAGACACCGCTGGTCCAGCCCGTCGATGTTCCACGTGATGAAGCTGAAAGTTCTGGGTGGTGAGGCGGTGAGTCGCAGTCTTGACGTGGTTGCGCCGCCAGCTTCGCCAGACGACCATCGCCTCTTCCGCCCATCCAGAGCTGACACAGCCTGGTCGCTGGTGACAAAAGGGACCTTATCACAGATGCATGAGTAGTCTCCTGGTGAGAAAATAGTTCATCACTGGCATAAGTGACCCGGTAGCCTATGGTTGCACAAACTTTACATCGTAAATGCTGACGGCTCTTGGTGCATTGACTGAAATACACAGATGTATCTGTGTTCAGCCCAAACACACATGAATAGAATCAGTGACCATACCAACCATTGCTTTCCCACAGGGGAGATATCCTATTCACTTGACAAGGTTCTGCAAACAGACATGACACTGCAATCACATGCATTCAGACTGAAAGTGCTTACTCGATAGTGATGATTGCAGATGCATCCTCACTGCCAGGCACCACATGTACCCCAGCACCTGATGTGCGTGCCTCAAAATATGAATTGAGGGACCTCTGAAAAAACAACATGTCACCATGCACCATGCTGTCTATAACTAGCACTCTTTCTCAGCCATCAGACCTAAAATGTTTCACATTCTCACCAAATATAATAATCTTATTAATCTCACAAGTCTCAAGAATTGGAATGACTCATTTGAACACATCACTTTTCCTAATGCAGACAATATGCAACTGATATATGTACAACAATTCAGGTGTGGTGTCAGCTTCTCAAAATAAACAAAAACACAACACCACTTACAGTAAGGTCCCACTCATGATCTTGCAGAAAAAATTGTGCACAAGCTTCATCTGTGCCTGTTATAGATGCAAACTCAGAGCACCTCTCCTGGCAGGTTGCTGCATCTGGTATATTGTCCTCTTCTGCTTCATTATCACTCATTTTATGCCTGTTGAGCATGATCATTATAAAGAGAATGCAATACAATCATAATGACTTCAGTTATTGCTGTTTTAGGATGTGACAGCTGATCTTGAATACCAACCACTGCCTAGCATGGAATGGCATAGAAATAATAGAAATGACCAGCATGGACAGGCATTCTGATATTGCAGAGTATAACGGAACTACTCAAATAAGTGTCCAAGTATTTGATTGTTACTATTGTAACCAACTGCCATTCTTATGACAGTGCCACAGATGGACTAGGGGAACAAAGTACCCCAAGACCCCAATTATCTTGCCACAGCCCTGTGCTTTCTGCTTCTCCTTTGTGGGTGCCATAGGTGGGAGGTGGATGCACAACATATCACACTGTAACCCATTTGCTTAAAATTTGTTCAACTGTATCAACATGAATAAAAGAACAGGGTGCCAGGAGTCTGTAGACCACAGCAAAATTATTTTTTGAAAATGCTCAACATTCACCTATGCTAGCACACAGACAGAATGAACTACAAATCGGTACAAATCTCCTTATGTGATGTTGCTACGCTTGCGTACCATCGTGACTCCAGATCAACATTTGACACTAACCCAACATAGTTACACATGCATAAGCAGTGCCCCCCCCCCCCCCCTCCTATACACACACACTTTTCTACTGTTCCCGCAATAAGCAAACGTTTTTGATTGTGAAACAGGTATGTATGACCTTTAAAGTGGTGCAGCACCCTGCCTTTAAACACTCGTGCGTGCACAATGTGTCCAGCGGGTCTCGCGCATTCGCAGGCAAATCCGCGCGTAAACCGCGGGAGAAGCCTCAGCTCAAATCTGATCGGAGCCAGCCGGATCTCTTCCAAAAATCCCGAAGCTCTGTCACATTACAGTGACCACAGTCCCATGAGCCTGACTTGCGATATGGACTGCCAAAGAATAATGTACAAAAAAGCTTAACAGGTTTTTCCTCGTAACGCCAATGAAATCGCCCCATAACATGAAATTACGTTGACCGGGCAGTACTTTAATACTAGACCTTTTCCTTGAGTACGAAGTAAAAATTACTTTACCTTGCCTTACCTTATGGTGATCGGGAATTGTAAGAGGCCACTAGGCCTGTAAGTCCCGGTCTCGTCAGGCCCCCGGTCCGGTAACCAAACAGTCTCAAATTATGGGAAGAGTCGGTGTGGGACGTCGCACATGTTGTCAGCCCAGTGCGTATCAAGCCTAGACTTGAGCTGTTCAACTGAGGTCGACGACACGACCGGGTGTGGAAGAGCGTTCCAGTCGTTCACAACCCGCGTGCTGAATGAGTTACGACGGACGAGAGTCCTAGCTCGAGGTTTTCTGAGCTTCCATTGGTGTCCTCTCGTCACCTCCAAGTTGTGCCTTGTCAGGAACTCCTCTTCCCACAGCGACATACCTCTGTGAAACAGCTGGTACACTGTTACCACGTCTCCCCTGCGACGACGATAGTACAGCGAGGGCAGCTGAAGGAGTCCGAGGCTCTCAGGGTATGGCTGGCGCCTCACTTCATAGACAAGCCGGGTAGCTAGTCGCTGAACCCGCTCCAGCCGCTTCTGGTCCGGTTTGCCGAACGGGCCCCAGATAACGTTGCCATACTTTAAGTACAGACATACTAAGATCTTAAAAAGCAATGGTAACGTGCGAGCATCGATGTTGGCAAAACACCGCCTCACGACGGCCAGCATCTGGTTAGCCTTGGAGATCGCTTCCTCTGTCTGCACGTGGAACTGGAGCCGGTAATCCACGAAGATCCCGAGGTCCTTCTCGGTGAACTCAACCGCGATTTCGGCGCCGTCCAAGAAGCACGTTAGCCTCGGGTTGCAGTTCCCGATGTGCATTATTTTGCACTTTGCTGCACTGAAGGGGAGCAGCCACTCCTTTGGCCACTTGGCCAGGGCGTCGAGGTCAGCCTGCAGAGGTGAGTTAGTCAGGGGCCTCGGGACACGACAGTAGACCTTGGTGTCATCGGCAAACATCTTGACCACGCTTCGCACTTGTTCTGGCAGATCGTTCACGAACATTATGGGCGGCGTTGGTCCAAGTACTGACCCTTGCAGGATGCCGCTGACGACGTCGGTCCAGTCCGACTTCGAGCCCTGGACCCGCACTCTGCTTCCGGTGAGTAAGAGAAGCCCTGATCCAGGGTAGCAAATTACCTCTCACACCATAAGCATGAAGCTTGGAGAGCAGACTGCTATGGGGAACAGAATCAAAGGCTTTGCTGAAGTCCAGGTACGCCACGTCCACCGGCTCTCCATCCTCTTTCGCGGCGCTCCAATCCTCCATGACCTCTAACAGCTGGCTGGTGCAGGACCGCTTAGGGAGAAACCCATGCTGGGCTGCATGAAGAAGTCCAGACTCCGAGAAGGGATTAAGTAGGGCATCACGGACGAAAGTTTCGAGTATCTTGGAAGGAATGGCAGTAAGGCTCACTGGGCGGTAGCTCGCTGGGGATTGTCGGTTACCCTTCTTGAAGATCGGGACCACCTCGCCAAGCTTCCAATCCAGCGGGAGCCTTCCGGATGCCGAAGATTTTCGGAAAAGCATGCTGAAGGGTGCTGCCAGGACATCTGCGGACTCGCGAAGAAGCCTTGGATGGACATCGTCAGCCCCAGGGACGCTCGAGGTCTTCAGAGCGGCCAATTTCTTTGCCACTGCCTGGGTAGAGGTGGCTACGTCATCCAGTAACGGTCCAGTAGGGTTGCACGGTAACACAGGCATGACACTAGTCCCTTCGTCCGTGAAAACACTGGCGAAGAATTTACAAAGGACATTGGCCTTTCCCTCGTTACTGCTGGTCAACACTCCATCATCGTTAAGAAGGTCTTCTACCCTGCATCTTGTACGTAGTCTAGAGTTGGCGCACCTCCAAAGGCCTTGGGGTCTCTTTTGATGTCTGCTATTAATTTGATCTCATACTCTTCCCGAAGGTTTCTCGTCAATTTCCGAAGGTCATTGCGACAACGCACAAGCCTGGCATGGTCCAGAACATCTTGAGTCCGCGTGTACGTTCGCCATAGTCTTTCCTTAGCCTTCTTTAGCTGCATGGCCCTTGGGTTCATGTATAAGTTCTTCTTAGCTTTAGTCCTCCTGACAGAGCAAACCTCAGTAGCCCTGGCGATTCTTTCCTTGAAGAACTTGTAACCATCTTCGTGACTGAGGCTCTCGATCAGGGACCAGTCCATTGACCTGAGGGTGTCAGCCAGATGCTCATAATTCGTGCGTGTCAACTGGCTGGGACGAGGAGTTTGTAGCCCAGAGTAGCAGACCAAAGTGTACCCGATTGCCACATGGTCACTGTTACCCAGCCCTGGCAGGCATTTGATTTGGCTCGCTATGTCGTCCTCATTTGTGAAAATGAGGTCCAGAACACTAGGGGCTTCACCAACCCGGTAGCGTGTTGGCTGCTGGACATGCTGGAACAAGAAACAGCCCTGAATGGTGTCTATCAGTGAGTGGGTTGGGTGACTCTGGAGCTGATGACCGCTCTGTTGCCCAGTCAATCTGAGGCAAGTTAAAGTCACCTACAACCTAACCTAAAACAAGTGAGAAAACTGTCTCTGCATGCTCTCTGAAGGTCTTCCAATTGGCCCACACTGTCTTGGATGTTGCCTGATGGACTTCTGTATATGCAGTCAAGTAACAGGGGATCCTTCCCACTCAAGGCCATCTTCAGCCACACTTACTCCAGAGGACTTGACCCAAATGAGTGCTCAGCTGCGTTTAGTAAGTTGGACACATAGACACATTTACCTCTCCTACCACTAGATCCGAGGTTGCGTTGAGAGAAATTGAAGTTTGTGTACATTGTGTACCCGGAAATTGCTCGAAGAAATGGCGCAATGGGAAGCTTCTGGGCTTTGAGATAGATATGGATGGATGTTATAATTATAGCATAGATATAGATAATAAAAGAGAGAGAGAGAGAGAGAGAGAGAGAGAGAGAGAGAGAGAGAGAGAGAGAGAGAGAGAGAGAGAGAGAGAGAGAGAGAGAGAGAGAGAGAGAGAGAGAGAGAGAGAGAGAGAGAGAGAGGAGAGAGAGAGAGAGAGAGAGAGAGAGAGAGAGAGAGAGAGAGAGAGAGAGAGAGAGAGAGAGAGAGGAGAGAGAGAGAGAGAGAGAGAGAGAGAGAGAGAGAGAGAGAGAGAGAGAGAGAGAGAGAGAGAGAGAGAGAGAGAGAGAGAGAGAGAGAGAGGAGAGAGAGAGAGAGAGAGAGAGAGAGAGAGAGAGAGAGAGAGAGAGAGAGAGAGAGAGAGAGAGAGAGAGAGAGAGAGATTTATATATATATATATATATATATATATATATATATATATATATATATATATATATAATTAGCCTAGATATGAGGCTCACTTCTGGAGGCCGGTCATGAAGTGCTTCTCTGCTTGCAACTCATGCTATGATTTCTCTGGATATTTTGACTTATCACAAGTGCAGCGTTTAAAACTTACGCAGTAGCTGTGTCAAACGTGAATACAGCACTTTAAGATTCTTTTAAGGTGGCAATGAATCTTTTGCGCCATAAATGACCATTACAAGAATGGAAGCATTGTAATGATAGTGATTGTGGGCCGCGTTTTGTAGTCGGAAGGGAGGGTCGGGTGCGCGTCGGCCGATTACATGACGTTTAATAGGTAATTTTTTTACTTGGGTACCTGTATGGCTGACGGAGGGAAGACCTACGCTAGCTGCAGGGTTTCGAGTATTGTCGTGCGGGGCAAAAGCTGTGAGGCATCAGCTAACATTGTGACGTCACTGAAAATGGTTTTGCATCGATCGGGATCGGGGTTCTTTCGGGCCGACTGAAGGCCATAAGGCTTTTGCTTGTGATATGGTGTCACTGGTATTCGGCTGGGTATGTGACGTCACTGGTCGTGAGTTTGTAAGGCTCTTTTGGGTCCACTGAATGCCGTAATGCATCAGCTGGCCATGTGTCGTCACTGGTATTCGATTGAACATCAGGCGCGGCCGGCCTCGTTCCATCTTAACTTTTCGTACCTGTCTGCTGCAAGCATTTGCGTGCCGCATAAAGGTTTGACCGAATTACCCCAATGTGTGACGTCCCTAATCATCACTTCATACGAGTGCACTTAGGCCTCACGACCACGGTGTGTCGTGGTCCGCAAAGTATCACCGGATAGCGTGACGTCACTGGTATTCGAATAAAAACTGGGCGCAACAGGCCGTGCTTCATTTTTACCTTTGTACTTGTCTATTGCAAGCATTGGCGTGCTGGATGAAAGCTGCCGAACCACCTAAGTGTGTGACATCACTGGCCATGAGTTCCAACGGTGCTTTTCGGCCAACTGAAGACCACAAGGTGTCAGCTAACGACGCCACTGCTATACGACTGTAAGACGTCAATGGCCGTGGGTTTCCACGGGCCCTATAGGACCGAAGAAATGCCGTTAGGCATCAGCTGGCGATATGACGTCACTGGTATTTGGCTGAACATCAGGCAACAGGTCATGCTCCATTTATACCTTTCGTACATGTCTGCTGCAAGTATTGGCGGATTTTTTGTGCGGCCAACTGAAGACCATAAAGCATCAGCTAACGATGTGACGTCGCTGGCACTCGACTGTGCGTGTCGCTGGTCATGAGGTTTTACGGCCTCTTTTGGGGCGACGAAAGGTCATACGGCAATGACTGAAGATGTGACGTCACTGGTATTCGAATGAACTTCGGGCGCGACAGACCATGTTCCACCTTTATCTTTGGTACCTGTCCATTGCAAGCATTGCCGTGGAAGGCTCTGCCAAATTACCTGAGTGTGTACGTCACTGACCATTAATTTGCACACTCTTTTGAGCCTACTATAGGCCACAAGGCATCAGCTGACGATATGATGTCACTGGGTTTCGACTAGACATCATGCGCAACAGGCCATGCTCCATCTAAGCCATGTTTCGTCTGTACCTTTCGCACCTATCTACTGCAAGTATTCGCGCGACACAGGGGCTCTGCCGAATTACCTGAGCGTGTGGTGTAACTAGTTATGAGTTAACGCGGGTTTACTCTGGCTGACTGAAGGACATCAAGCATCAGCTGACGATATGACGTCACTGGTATTCGACTAAACTTCAGGCGCGACAGGCCATGTTCCATCTTTACCTTTCGTACCTGTCTCTTGGAAGTATGGGCGTGCTGAATGAAGGCTCTGTCGAGTCTCCTGAGTAAGTAACGTCACTGGTCAAGAGCTTTTTACGGGACCTTTTGTACCCCCAAACGGTAAAATGCATCAGCTGATGATATGACGTCACTGGTGTCCGACTTAACATTAGGCGCGACAGGCCATGTTCTATCTTTACCTTTCGTACCCGTCTATTACAAGTATTGACGTGCTGAGTGAAGGCTCTGTCGAGTCTCCTGGGTGTGTAACGTTACTGGTCATGAGTTTTTTCTGGCTCCTTGGAACCCTCTATAGGGAAAAATGCATCAGTTGACGACATGATGTCAATGGTGTTCGACTTCACATGAGGCGTAACAGGTCATGTTCCATCTTTGCCTTTCGTACCTGTAAAGTATTGGTGCGTTAAATGATGGCTCTGCCGAGTCACCTGAGTGTGCGACGTGACTGATCATGAATTTTTACCAACTATTTTTGGCTGAGCGAAAGCCATAAGGCATCAGCTAACGAAATGACGTCACTGGTAATCCACTGAGTGTGTGACGTCACTGGTCATGAGCTTTTACGGGCCTTTTTGGCCGAGTTCAGGTCATTAGGCATCAGATAACGTTATGGCGTCACTTATATTCGAATTAAAATCAGTTGCAATAAGCCATGTTTCATCTTTACCTTTCGCACCTGCCTACTGCAAGTATTCGTGCGCTACAAAAAGGCTCTGTCGATTCGCCTGAGCGTGTGGTGTAACTGGCCATGAGTTTGTGCAGGTTTACTCGGGCTGACTGACGGACATCAAGCATCAGCTGACGATATGACGTCACTGGTAATCCACTAAACTCCAGACGAATCATCTGAGTGGGTGACGTCGCTGGTCATGAGTTCATACGGATTCACTTGGGCCGCCCAAGGCCACAAAGCAACACCTCCCGTGAAGCATCACAGGATGATATGTCGTCACTGTTATTCGACTTAACATCAGGTCCAACATGCCACGTACTTTCTTTACCTTTTGTACTTGTTTATTAAAGGTATTGACGAGCTGAATGAAGGCTCCGTCGAATCTCCTGAGTGTGTGACGTCGCTGGTCACGAGTTTTTTACGGGCTCCTTTGAACCCATTTTAGGTTATAATGCATCAGCTGACGACATGACGTTACTGGTGCTCGACTAAACATCAGGCGCAACAGGTCATGCTCCATATTTGCCTTTCGTACCTGGCTGCTGCAAATATTCGCGTGCTATATGAAGGCTCCGCCGAATCACCTGAGTATGTGACGTCACTGATCATCAGTTGGTAGGAGGTCACTTGGCCACCTACGGCTACGGAGTTCCGCAGCAGAGGTGGGAGATGCACCATAGTCAAGCACACTAATTTTATTGTGCGCACCATTAAGTAACAACTTCAAACGCAACGGGCTGTTTCAACGACTAAAATTTTGAACAAACGTAAACACAAAACAAAGGTGATCCCAGCCCACAAACCGACGTATATGCAAAGCTATTCCGCCCGACATCACAGGATGCGCCCCTGAGCAGCTACGGTCCGGAATGCCCTGATGGCTAAATAATAATCAAGGGCGCCGCCTAGCGGCCATAAGTCTGGGCCACAGCCCGAATATCAGTGATGTCATATGGTCAGGTGATGCTTGATGTCCTTCAGTCAGCCCGAGTAAGCCCGCGTAAACTCATGACCAGTTACACCACATGCTCAGGTGATTCGGCAGAGCCTTTATGTAGCGCGCGAATACTTGCAGTATAGAGGTGCGAAAGGCAAAGATGGAACATGACCTGTTGCGCCTGAGATTAAGTCAAATACCAGTGATGTCATATCGTCAACTGATGTCTTGTACCCTATAGGTACAAAAAAGCAGCCCGTAAAGAACTCATGACCAGTGACATTACACACGCAGGAGATTTCACAGAGCTTTCCTTAAGCATGTCAATGCTTACAATAGACAGGTACGAAAGGTAAAGACGAACATGGCCTGTCGCGCCTGGTGTTAAGTTGAATACCAGTGACGTCACATCGCCAGATGATGCTTGATGTCCTTCAGTCAGCCCGGGTAAACCCGCGTAAACTCATAACCAGTCACACCACACGCTCAGGTGATTGGGCAGAGCCTTTATGTGGCGCGCGAATACTTGCAGTAGATAGGTGCGGAAGGTAAAGATGAAACATGACATATTGTATCTGATGCTTAATTGAATACCAGTGACGTCATATCGTTACCTGATGCCTAATGGCCTTAAGTCGGCCCAAAAAGGCGCGGGAAAACTCATGACCAATGGCGTCACACACTTAGTGGATTACCAGTGACGACATATCGTTAGATGATGCCTAATGGCTTTCCCGGCCAACAATAGCCTGTAAAAACTCATGATGACGCACTCAGGTGATTCGGCAGAGCCATCATTAGGCTCGCCAATACTTTAACAGGTGCGAAAGGCAAAGATGGAACATGACATGTTGTACCTGATGCTAAGTCGAACACCAGTGACATCATATCGTCAACTGAAGCATTATACCATATAGGGGGTTGAAAAGAGCCCGTAAGAACTCTTAACCAATGACGTGATATAACACGCGAATGCTTGCAGTAGACAGGTACGAAAGGTAAAGATGGAACATGGCCTGTTGCGCCTGATGTTGAGTCGAATACCAGTGACGTCATATCATCCCGCGATGCTTTACAGGATATGATGCTTTGTTGCATTGGGCTGCCCAAGTGAACCTGTATAAACTCGTGACCAGTGACGTCACGCACTCAGATGGTTCAGCATCACCTTGATATAGCACGCGAATGCTTGCAGTAAACAGGTACGAAAGGCAAAGATAGAGCATGGCCTGTTGCGCATGACACCTAGACGAAAACCGGTGACGTCATATGGTCAGCTGATGTGGTATGGCTTACAGTGGGTTCAAAACAGTCTATACAAATTAATGGTTAGTGACGTTACACACTCAGGTAATTCGGCAGACCCTTCCTTCAGCATTCAAATACTTGCAATGGACAGGTACCAAAGGTAAAGATGGAGCATGGCCATGGCCGCCTGAATTGTATTCGGATACCAGTGACGGCACATCTTCAGTTAATGTAGTATGACCTTTCGTCGGCCCAAAAGAGGCCGTAAAATCTGATCACAAGTGACATCACACACAGTCGAATGCCAGTGACGTCACATCATTAGGCTATGCTTTACGGCCCTCAGTTGGCCCCCAAAGATCCATAAAAATGCATAACCAGTGACGTCACACACTCACGTGATTTGGCAGCTTTTATTCATCACGCCAGTGCTTGCAGTAGACAGGTACGAAGCTAAAAATGAACCTTGACCTGTTGCGACCAATATTTAGTCGAATATCACTGACGTCACGATACCCAGTGATATTTCACGGAACATGATACACCGCGGCCGTGGGGCCTAAGTGCACTCGTATCAAGTGGTGATTGGTGACGTCACACATTCAGGTGATTCGGTCAAGCTTTTATTCGGCACGCAAATGCTTGCAGCAGACAGGTACGAAAGGTAAAGATGGAATAAGGCCCGTTGCGCCTGATGTTTCATTGAATACCAGCGACGACATATCGTCAGGTGATGCTTTACGGCATTCATTGCACCCAAAAGAGCCCTAAAGCCTCACAACCAGTGACGTCACATATCCAGTCGAATACCAGTGACATCATATCGCTAGCAAATGCCTTGTAGCCTTCAGTCGGTCCAAAAGAACCCAGATCGATGCAAACCCATTTTCAGTGACGTCACTACGTCGGCTGATACCTAACAGCATTTCTCCATCATGGCAGTACAGGAACCCTGCAGCCAGCGTAGCTCTCTCCCCACCGTCGGCAATACAGGTACCCAAGTAAAAAGAAAGCCGTTTAATATATCTCTGTGTTATTCATGTTGTAGTGCTACAAATCGATCGAAATCTTCAAGCCTCGACCACCACTGATCGCTTTTCAAGAACGCTCCAAACATCGTGAGTTGGACTTCGTTAGACTTTTGTCGATAGGCCAGCGTGGAAAAATATCCATCCACTGCTCCGGACGCGGACACGAGTTGGTATTCTTCAAGTACTTCACCTTTTTTTAGAAGAAGAAGTATCTCCACGCGAGCGTTTACGCGCAGTGCACGGGCTCACGCTCGCGTTAGCATTGGACTTTGAGTCATTCAGACTCTTTAGCACCAAAACGATCAGGCATTAACATTATTAACGCGTTTCGAACCCGCTACTCACAATGCTGGCATGATTGCTATTCTTCAGATACCTGAAATAAGAATTTCGGCGTCAACAGGTCATATGATTTTGAAACGCAGCCACATTATAGCATTGGGGCAACATAAGCACCAAATTACGTACATTCGAGCAATTAAGAAAAGTATCCCAGTTCTTCACATTCGTGTCTCGAATTGATATTTCCAAACAGACAGCACAGAGAAAAACCCAACAATGTCGGCGGAACTGAAGCATTTCCAGCAGTCTTAAAAAACGGACCAAGCCACGGGAACCAAACACCGAAGCCAAGCCAACGTTTTCGGTGCGGTACATTGACGTCTATTAGCGCAGTGCATCTCATACACGAGTCCGGATAATGTGATTCACACTGATTAGGACCAAACACATCGTGACGACATTGTCGCTTAAACTACAACACTTGGATTCAATTAATATGACTACTCCGTTTGCCGTGACATGCTGCTATCATGTCGTGCAGAGGGACTGCCGTAGTACCCTCTTAAAGTAGTGCACCTCTTGTACAATTCCAACGAGCAAGGCTTGAAATCGCTCTGACATCTAGAGACATACTCTGCCGAGATAATATGCCAACAGCCACCCTAAGGAAACGGATCAAGCCTCGGAAAACGAAGACTGAAGCAAGGCCAGCGTTTTCGGTACGGTACATATACGTCTGTTAGCGTAGTGCACCTCACACACGAGTCCGGATAATGCAATTCACGCCTTTAGAACTGGACACGTCGTGCTGACAATGTCGATGGAACTGCAAGACTTCGGTCCGATGAATAAGACTCATGCATTGCCGTGAGATGCTACAATCATGTCGTGCAGAGAGACTGTCGTAGCACCCTCTTAAAGTAGTGCACCTCTTGTACAATTCCAACGAGCAAGGCTTGAAATCGCTCTGACATCCAGAGACATACTCTGCCGAGATATTATGCCAACAGCCACCCTAAGGAAACGGATCACGCCCCGGGAAAGAAGACTGAAGCAAGGCCAGCGTTTCGGTACGGTACATATACGTCTATTAGCGTAGTGCACCTTACACACGAGTCCGGATCATGCGGTTCACACTTATTAGGACCAAACACATCTTGCTGACGATGTCGGTGGATATGCCAGACCACGGTCCGATGAATAAGACCCATGCATTGCCGTCAGATGTTGCCATCATTGGCGGGCGGACTGCAGTAGCACCCTCTTCAAGTAGTACACCTCTGGTATAATTCCAATTGGCGGGACCTAAAAACCGCTCTGACATCCAAAGACATACTCTACCGAGATAATATGCCAATAAAAATCCTAAGGATACGGACCAAGCCTTGGAACCGAAGACTGAAGCTAGGCCAGCGTTTTCGGTACGGCACATATGCGTCTATTAGCGCAGTGCACCTCATGCACGAGTCCGGATCAGGCGATTCACACTTATGAAAATTAAACACATCGTGCTGACAATAACGGTGGAACTGCGAGACTTCGGTCCGATGAATAAGGCTGATGCATTGCCGTGAGATGCTGCCATCATGTGCGGACAGGCTGTAGTAGCACCCTCTTAAAGTAGTACACCTCTTGTATAATTCCAACTGGCGAGACCTAAAAACCACTCTGAAAGGCAAAGACACACCCCGCTGAGATAACATCCCGACACGAACCCTGAGGAACGAAGCCAAGCCCCGGGAACCGAGGACCGAAACAAAGGCAACGGTTTAGGTACGGTACATATACGTTTAGTCGTGCGGTGCACCTGAAACAAGAGCCCTTACAACGCGATTCACACTAAGTAGAAATAAACACATTGTGCCGACAATGTCGGTTGAGCTGCAATGGTTTGACTCAATGAATAAGACTCATGCACTGTCGTGGGATGTCACCATCATGTGCGGACAGACTGTAGTAGCATCTTCTTAAAGTAGTGCGCCTCTTGCATAATTCGTTGGCGAGACCTAAAAACCGCTTTGTCATCCAAAGACACACTGTATCGAAAAAAACGTCTCAACAGCAATTCTAAGGGAACGGACCAAGCCCCGGAAACCGAAGACCGAAGCGAGGCCAACGTTTTCGGTACGGTACATATGTATTTATAAGCGCAGCGTAAATTATACCATCGTCAGCAAGATGTGTTTAGTCCTAATAAGTGTGAATCGCATGATCCGGACTCGTGTGTGAGGTGCACTACGCTAATAGACGTATATGTACCGTACCGAAAACGCTGGCCTTGCTTCAGTCTTCGTTTTCCGGGGTTTGGTCCGTTTGCTTAGCGTGGCTGTTGGCATATTATCTCGGCGGAGAACGTCTTTGGATGTCAGAGTGGTTCCTAGGCCTCGCCAATTGGAATTATACAAGAGGTGTACTACTTGAAGAGGGTGCTACTGCAGTCCGCCCGCCAATGATGGCAACATCTGACGGCAATGCATGAGTCTTATTCATCGGACCGTGGTCTGGCATATCCACCGACATCGTCAGCAAGATGTGTTTAGTCCTAATAAGTGTGAACCGCATGGTCCGGACTCGTGTGTAAGGTGCACTACGCTAATAGACGTATATGTACCGTACCGAAACGCTGGCCTTGCTTCAGTCTTCGTTTCCCGGGGCGTGATCCGTTTCCTTAGGGTGGCTGTTGGCATAATATCTCGGCAGAGTATGTCTCTTGATGTCAGAGCGATTTCAAGCCTTGCTCGTTGGAATTGTACAAGAGGTGCACTACTTTAAGAGGGTGCTACGACAGTCCCTCTGCACGACATGATTGCAGCATCTCACGGCAATGCATGAGTCTTATTCATCGGACCGAAGTCTTGCAGTTCCATCGACATTGTCAGCACGACGTGTTCAGTTCTAAAGGTGTGAATTGCATTATCCGGACTCGTGTGTGAGGTGCACTACGCTAACAGACGTATATGTACCGTACCGAAAACGCTGGCCTTGCTTCAGTCTTCGTTTCCCGAGGCTTGATCCGTTTCCTTAGGGTGGCTGTTGGCATATTTTCTCGGCAGAGTATGTCTCTAGATGTCAGAGCGATTTCAAGCCTTGCTCGTTGGAATTGTACAGGAGGTGCACTACTTTAAGAGGGTACTACGACAGTCCCTCTGCACATGATTGCAGCATGCCACGGCAACAGAGTAGTCATATTAATTGAACCCAAGTGTTGTAGTTTAAGCGACAATGTCGTCACGATGTGTTTGGTCCTAATCAGTGTGAATCACATTATCCGGACTCGTGTATGAGATGCACTGCGCTAATAGACGTCAATGTACCGCACCGAAAACGTTGGCTTGGCTTCGGTGTTTGGTTCCCGTGGCTTGGTCCGTTTTTTAAGACTGCTGGAAATGCTTCAGTTCCGCCGACATTGTTGGGTTTTTCTCTGTGCTGTCTGTTTGGAAACATCAATTCGAGACACGAATGTGAAGAACTGGGATACTTTTCTTGATTGCTCGAATGTACGTAATTTGGTGCTTATGTTGCCCTTTTAGTACATGCTATAAATCGTCGGTTGTCCGCGTGTTAAAATCATATGACCTGTTTGTAGCCGAAATTATTATATTATCAGATGGTTATTTCTTGAAGATGATAGGCAATCATGCGAGCATTGTGAGTAGCAGTGGTCGAAACGCCGTAGTGAATAATGTTAATTGCCTGCCCATTACTTTTGGTGCTAAAGATGTCGTTTGGATTGTATGATTTCAAAGTCGGGCAATCCTGCTAACGCGAGCTGGTTGAGCCCGTGCCGCACTGCGCGTAAAACGCTCGCGGTGGAGATATTTCTTCTTCTAAAAAAGGTGAAGTACTTGAAGAAAACCTACGAGTTCGGTGTGCTGGGCCCCGCCCTCGTAAGCCGTATCTGCAGGACTCAGGTCAGGGCATATTGTATGCTATTGTTAGGTACGTTTTGTGTGAAAAATTGTCTCATGAATGTTTTTACAGGAGCTTGCCTCTACAGCATCATAACTTGCCACATTGGCCTTCTATGTGTTGAATTTAATGGTCACTCTGTGCAAAATTCTGGCCACTCAGGTTTTTGGCACATAGAACTGAGATATGATGTTGCTCTGATGCAATACATGGATGGTGTCACAATGCAACACAAGTAGTATCACAATGCATGTGATAGTCACATGCTTGGGTGCAAAATGACCACTGCAGTTGACGCGCCCCAAAACACCAATGAACAACAGCAAAGATAGTCACATGCATTGTTTGCTCTATAGCCTCAAGGCATTTGCCAGAGACAGAGATGCAAAGAGCATTGCACATTTTGTGTGACAGTGTGACCATTATAACTCTAAGTCAGAATAGCTTTAAGGCATTCTGTGTTTATCGTTGTTGCATTTTTGATGCCATAAACAGAATCTTGTTAGAACCCTTGACTTCATATATCATAATGCTGGTAGGTACCTACTTCTGCATTCTATAAAAGGCCTTTTATACCCCTGATAGGGAATTAGGTACACTTGTCAGGCAGGATGTGAGCCTTCAATAACATTGACTTTCAGCTCTATGCATCCACAGCATATTTTTCATGAAAGGGTAGCACATGTAACCATTGGAAACACTCTTCTGTAATCTGCACTCCCTATTCTACTTAGCCAACCAAATTGAGTGTGACACTTAACCAGTGTGTGGTTTTACAGCATTCAGTGTGTTTCATTGGCACTGGTCAGTACAACTTTCATTATCTTGCCAACTAAGCAGAATATTATTTTTCTTCAAATGCAGTTTTGATTGTATTTGGATTAGAAGGATATCCATCTAAGCCCAAGATATATCTGCAATCAGATATCTGTACGCTGTTTTCCCTAGACATGAGCCACATGTAGCTGATGATAAGTATGGTAGGTGGTGGAAAGTAAGTGGATTGTATAATCACGGATCTAATTCAGTAAACTGACCGAACTGATCCTTACCTGTTTAATATTGTTCAAGCAATTTTTATATGCATAAACCTGTTGTAGCTTCCATTAAACCAGAAAAATAACATTTGAAGCCAAAGCTGAGATAATTGAATAAATACTGTCAATTTGACCTGTTTTTCTCATTGTTTTAGAATATGTTTGTCTACATGTTTTCACATCAGTCCAAGTGAAAGAGGTGCACATGTTGATGATTATTTCATTGTGTGGCTGTGTCATTGACTGTAGAAACATGATTTATGGATAGTGTCCTGTGTACATCTGCTCAGTTTTCATCTCATACATTCAACCCGCATCTAGTTGGTACAGTCGATGTGCATTTATCTGATTGGTCCTAGACAACTTAGTTGATATACAATATTCAGGGATTTTAAGAATTGGTGGAGTGACATGGTTAAATGTTAGGTAACATTTCTCACTGAGCATTTCTAAACATAGTCACTGCCACTGTATTGCCCTTTCAGGCCATGTCCCTGTTCAGTAACATGGTGACAGACTTCTTGCGGAACATCATTGACACTGCACAAGACCCCAACTCGGTGTATGAGGTGAAGGCAGATACGCACAACCACTGGCCAGTGTGCTGCCGCGAACAGTGCCTGTGTCTGTATGGGCCCGAACGCACGTCAGATGGCACTGAGGTCTTCGACCTGGTCATCCAGCGGCCGCTCGCCGACACTGTTGACAAGGAGTACGTGCTGGCACGCTCGCGCTCGCGGGAGGACGGCCGCCGCCTGCTGCAGCGGCTGGCAGGCTTCCTACCGCTGCTGGTGCGCCACTGGCCGCGCGACACGCTCCAGCAGCCGACGCTGCAGCGCGTCTGCGACGCCGTCCGGCTGCACCCGGGCTGGCACGGCGCGCATGTGTGTGCCGAGCTGCAATGGGCCGAGCCGCTGGCGCGGCCCGAGCTGGCGCCGTTCGTCACCAAGCCCGACCCCGAGACGGGCGTCACGCCACTGCACGTGGCCGTCACCGGCGGCAACGCGCGCTACGTGACGCGTCTGATGGCGTTGGCGCCGCCGCCGAGCGTGGCCACCGCCGACGCCGACGGCAATACGGTGCTGCACGTGGCGGCACGTGGCCCGCGCGAGCTGCTGGCGCTGCTGGTCGGCTTCGCCGAGCCGGACACAGTGAACGCGCGCAACGGTAAGAACCTGACGGCGCTGCACGTCGCCTGCATGGAGGACAAGCCAGAGAATGTCAAGACGCTGCTGAAGGCTGGCGCCGACGTCAACGTGGCCGGAAAGTAAGTGGCGGGCGCCGGGCGGTGTGGCTCCGGGCCATGTGCCGACCGCCCTCCCCTTCCCCGTGCCGCACGGTTTTGAATGACGCGGTATGTCAAATGGGTTGGGGATCTCTGTGGTGCGGTGGCAACTGGCAGCATCGGAAAATGAATGCTGCCTGATTGGTCCACCAGGTTTACCGAATTGCTTTGCCCAGCCTAGCCCAGCCCTTCTTTGCTGTTACTTTTTCTGGATGTTGACAATCTGTACCATAGCCGTGATTACAGGTTGAAGGAAATGTTTCGCTTTGGAAGGTCCTGAAAAGAACACATCAGATATGATGAAACAAGCTCGCTTATAACAGTGGGCATACTACTCGTAGTTGGCATACAAATGGAAAAGACTGCTCTAGACAGCACAGTTCTCCGTTAAGTAAATATGCTCCTCAATGCGTCATGGTTTAATTATGCCATCGTGCCTAGCACAACATTGATTGAGAAGCCAATTGACCGCCGTTATATCTGGAAATCGCGCTTACGAACGCCAGATGTAAGCGCCTAGACAGTAACATTTTTCTTGGCCATGATCGCCGCATGGCCTATGGAATGGCCGGATTTGAATGACGTCATCATGTCGTGGTGAATGCAAAGGTGACTTTGAAATACTTGTGCCGATACACCTTTCCCCATTTTCGCTGGCGTGTAGCTTAGAAACTAGAGGGCTTAGGCCTTGTGAAGGGTGGGATTGTGAACAGGACCGGAAGGTCATCAGGATGGGAATTTCAGTTCAAAGCCCCATATAAAAGTGGATCACTCCTTGTAATGCAAAGTCAAAACCGACCATGCCAGTTTTTTTTCGCAAGGCTGCGAAATCATTGCGATTTCTCTTCCTCATTGCATTGACACTGAAAATCTGAAAAAATAGGTTAAAAGAGCTAAATAACATGGATCAAGCGTAGGGTCCAGGTGTCGGCGACCTAGTGACGCAGCGGAAACGAGACAAGCAGATTCTGACCGGCAAAACGGGCAGTCATGCGACTGCGTGAATCGATGTGTGCGACGGTGACTCGCTCCCGTCGCAAAGCATAAGTACGGCGTAAGTAAGTACATAAGTACACCCGTTTTTTTGCCCCATTTTTAAATGATTGATAGGTTGTTGATGTTGGCGTTTTTTTAACTGAAAATAAGTTTAACATTTGTTTGTTGATTGATTGAGATGTGAAGCCGAATGCACGGGGTAGACATGTTCTGGCTGCAACTCGCTGACGAATCCCGAAACTCCGACCCATATGTTCGGCAGTAACCGGCCACTTCGCGGCCAGTGTCAGCTTTCCCAATCCGATCTCGAACAGTTTGGGGCCATGGAAACACAGGCCGTATAGCCGTGATAATCGTGACCAGTATGCAGTTATTTATCGCTTTTCGTGCATTAACTTTGTTGAAGTTTATTGGACTCGTAGATCGTCAATTTGCAAGCAGATTATTGTTTTTAAACCGACGCACAAATTCTGCATCAGTGGATCCCTTCCCATTACAATTTTATGAAATTTAGACATCCAGCGCATTGAGGTAAGAGTTTTGTACCGCTTGCGAAAGATGTCTGACTTTAGAAGCCTGGATTGTGTCGTTATCTCCATGACGACTAGCCACTTCCACTCACGTCATTGCCTCGCACGTGCCACGGCGCACAAGGCGTACTGCTTGTCGTAATTGTCGGAGTAAGTGGACGGGGGGTGGGGGTTAAGTGATTCGCGAAGCCTCTGATGTGGCTTTAGTGGTGACGTCTATTGCGGGTATGCTCCTAGCGGAGTTCCGTTCGTTGGTAGCCATAGCTGCTTGTTCCAAAAATGACCTGGCACCTGACGGCTGGCTGGATGGATGGATGGCGGCTTCTGGGATGCTCTTGATTTATTCGCGCCCGCGATGTGGGGCGTCCCCTCCATTACGGTTCGTGCTGCGAACCAAAATAGCTTCGAAAGTTGTCCCGAAAATATAGTGCCAGCGCCGTAACGTTTCAAAGCGATGTACTGCTGCATTACTAGCACAAACGGCATGCGATCGATAACACTTCCGATGGGCTCTGGTGTCCAAATACGCCGTCTTTAAAATAGCTTTTCTACCGTCTAATCAGTGGCGCCCTAGCAGAACACTGGCCGAAACGTTGTGCTTCTCGCGTACTGGACAGCGGGGACTGAGAGTGCCCCTCCCCTCCCCCGGTCTCTGGAGAAACATATCAGTCACATGTCGGCTCCCAATCTGGGAACGTCTGGACCACCGAGCCCTGGCACGTGCTGCCGGTCGTCCCGACGGTCCAAAGGTCGCCCGTAGCGACGCCTCGCGAGAGGCCGTTATGTGCGGCGGGTCGACGTCGCGCTCTGTGTGAGTGACGGAGGACCACGGTTATGAGTCAGACTGGGAGCAACTGCACGGGCTGTGGGCGGAGCACGAGATGTCTGAGAGCCCTGCTCGCCGGCTGGCTTTTCATGCTTCGGGTACGCGGCCGGACACGCGCCAGTCTGGTGAACCGAGGCTACCGACTCGAGGTGAATCTAGGGACTCCCGAAGCTACCGACTCGAGGTGAACCTAAAGACTGCCGAGGCTACCGGCTCGAGGTGAATCTAGGGACTCCCGAGGTTACCAACTCGAGGTGAACCGAAGGATCCCCGAGGCTACCGGCTAGAGGTGAACCAAGAGACTCTCGAAGCTACCGACTCGGGGTGAACCAAGGAACTCCCGAGGCTATCGACTCGAGGTGAACCGAGAGACCCCCGAGGCTACCGGCTCGAGGTGAATCTAGGGACTCCCAAGGTTACCAACTCGAGGTGAACCAAGGGACTCCCGAGGCTACCGGCTCCAGGCGAGTCTAGGGACTCCCGTGGCCACCGGCTCGACACTTCTGAGATAAATGTTCGATCTCGGAGGTAACCAGACGGAGTAAGCGTTGTCAGAGAACAAAGTTAGTTTTTTTTTTAGCCGAAATGCGACTGCTGCTGGGCTCCGTCCAGAGACTATCCGGGCTACGATCACACTTCACAAAAACACGCTCGTGACATCTGACCATGGTCTGCGCAGGCAGGAAATCAGGGTGAGAACCCATGTTGTTTGCCATGACATCATACGCCATGATGATCATAATATGCGTGTTGAGAGAGAACGCACAGCGACCCGAATGTCGGGGATTAGGGCGAGACTACCAGGAAAAGGCTGTCAGTGTGGACTTTGGTCCAGATGGATGGTGCCGGGCAGGGATGCGGTCCGCCCCCACACTGCTGGGGGCGCGTGAACGGCGGATAACTTTGTCCGGGACGGGGGCGACGCTTGGCGCGGTCTGGCCCGGCCGGCGGACAGTGAGTCCGCGGTGAATCACGGGTGAAGGCGCTGACGACCAACGCCATGCGCGTGGTCCATGTGACAAGTGATATGCGTTTTGCCTGCGTCTGAGAGGGTCCGTCTAAGACCAAGACTGGACCGTCCCGATAGCTCAAGTCGTTGGAGTAAGTTTTGTCCGATCCATGTCGCGTTAGGCGCTTGCTATTTTACTTCGACAAGTATGGCCTGTGGCCGGTAGCAGCAGCTGTGCTAAAGACCAGATGACGTCAGAGGAAGGACGGACCGTACTGAGCATCGCGGTGCGTCCAAGTTTGGCCACCAGAATCTGCGTTGACCTAGAATTGAACCATCGGGTGGCAGGGTTCAGGGCTCGCACAACAAGAACTGCTTCGCGTGAACATTGATCCCAGAAATCCATCCATTCCAAAGGCTCAGATTTTATCTTAAAAAACTGTGGCAAAGAATCTAAATGTTCGACCAGAAGATTGCGCGCTCGGTAAATGATCGGAGAAAATGTCGTCATTCCGAATCCTTCTGCTTTCGAAAACATCTGATAAATAGCGCAGCTCGGCAGTATTTCATCGTCAACTTCTGTCTAAACTACCAAAACTGAATCGGTTTCTACGTTGTTTTTTTTTATCCCGCTCAGCCCTCATACGTGCTTTACTGAGCTTGAGTGCTGGGCCACGCTCCCGTTTCAGGCATGCTTACTCTGACACCGCTTCATCGTGTCCACTAACTGTCTGCTGACAACTCGCCTTATCGCAGCGCCGACCAGCTGCCCATCCACACGGCTATGTCGCTGTCCAGCTCACGCTGTGCCAAGGAGATCATCGACACCTACCCCAACCAGCTGAACGCCAAGGACATGAAGCTCGGCGGCACGCCGCTGCACTGGGCCAAGGGCGTCGACGTGCTGCTGGCCATGCTGGAGCTCGGCTGCAACATTAACGCGCGCAACTTTGCTGGCGACACGGCGTTGCACGTGATGACGCGCAATCGGCTGCTGGACAATGTGGTGCTGCTGCTGTCGCACGGCGCCGAGGTGGACCCGCAGGACCGCGACGGCAACACGCCGCTGCTGCTGGCCGTTGCGCTGGCGGATGTGCACCTCACGCGCGCGCTCATCGTCTTCGGCGCCGACCTGGCGGCGTGCAACGGCGCCGGCGAGACGCCGCGCCACCGCGCCGCCGCGCTGCGTCGCTCCTCCGACCTGCTGCTGTACACGCTGCACGCGGTGGGCGCGCCGCGCTGCGCGGGCGGCGCGCGCGGCTGCCGCGATGGCTGCGTATCCGGCGGGGAGGCGATCGGCGTGCCGCCGGGCGGGCCGGCGCAGCAGCGTGCGCGCCACCACCTGGACGAGGTGCTGGCGGCCACGTCGCTGAGCCGCTCGGTAGCTGAGGCGCGCCGCCGGCAGTCGCCGCCGCCACGCTGCCGCGTGCTCTGCCTGGACGGCGGCGGCATCCGCGGCGTACTGCTCGTGCAGGCGCTGCACGAGATACAGCGGCTGGCCGACAAACCGATCGCAGAGTGCTTCGACTGGATCGGCGGCACCAGCGTCGGCGGCATCCTGGCCATGGCGCTGGCGCTGGGCAAGACGCTGCAGCAGTGCCAGCAGCTCTTCTTTCGCCTCAAGGACAAGGTGTTCGTCGGCTCGCGGCCGTATAGCAACGAACGCCTGGAGGGCTTTCTGAAGGATGAGTTCGGCGAGAACACGGTGATGACGGACATCGAGAAGCCCCGCGTGATCGTGACGGGCGCGCTGGGCGACCGACATCCAGCCGACCTGCACCTCTTCCGCAACTACGAGGACGCCGCCGCCATGCTGCAGATTAAGGAGGCCACAAAGTTCACGGTGAGAGCCCTGGACGCGCGCAGTGGTGATCGGGCGGTGGCAGTTCCTCCATTCCGGTCCGATCCGGAAAGGTAGTGCACGTTCGGCCCTGGTCGCCGCGGTGGCTCCAAATGGTACAACATTACTCGCCCTTCCCCATTAAAGATCCTTAGCGAATGTTGGCTTTATTGGAAGCTTTTGCATATTTATGTAAATCAGGGGATCACGCACGCCCACAGTTTTCGCCTAAAACTGGTCTCAAATCTGGGTTGGTCCCAGCATTGGCCGTGCGGTGCGAGTCACGTGAACGGTTATGGCGCACTAAAGCTGTCGCCAGCTCGGTATGAACATGGAAACAGTGCTCCAGAGCGCTTGTAAATCTTTGGAATGTACCGTCGGGTAATTCTGCGCGTCGCCGGCCAGCCCGTGCTAACCGAGTTTGATAACATAGCTGGTGTTTGGGAGAGGTGTCTGTGCCGGTTGGGACCACGACAAGTCTCCGGGTATGTGACGGTAACCGTGCCGCGGCCGCCAGCCGCCGCCGCCACCCAGCGAGCAGCTGGTGTGGCGCGCGGCCCGGTCCACCGGCGCAGCGCCCACCTTCTTCCGCGCCTCGGGCCGCTTCGTCGACGGCGGTCTCATCGCCAACAACCCGACGCTCGATGTGCTGACCGAGATCTTCGAGTTCAACCTGGCGCTGCAGACGATGGGCCGCGCGTCGGAGGCGGTGGCGCCCACGGTCGTGCTCTCGCTCGGCTGCGGACGGCCCCCGGTCGCTGAGGTCAGTCGCCTGTGCTCTACAGCAAGGCGTCGAAAGGAAGGGTCTGTTGTGCATCCCGGAATGGGCGGTTACCCTGTTACAAATTAGGATGAGTGGCTGACACGTAATAACGTGGTGGGCTAAAGCCACGTGGTGAAGGATTGGGGGTAATATGTAAGGGGCATGGGGAGCGGTCGGCAGAATGGGGGGGGGGGGGGGGTTGATTACAAGCTGCAGCAGTCTACTGCAGCTAGTGCAAGGGCTGCATGAGACCACTGCAGCTTATCAGCCACCGCGCGGCACGTGCAGCACCGCTCCCGGGCCGGCCGGCTGACTGCGCCCCTGTGACCTCTGGCGCGAGCGACCCGGCCGGCACGCCACCAGCCAGCGGTGGTGCAATGGTCCAAAGGACGCGGGCATGCTGATGGCAACAGGACCCGAGTTTGCCAACCTTTGGGAAGCTTTTGTGGCCGAGTGTAATCCCTTGGCGACCAGCGTGGATGTCAGTAATCCCATAGCAATCAACGCGACCCGTGTAAGTTCCCTGACAACTGTCACGGCATCCTCACCAACGGCCGGGTGACCATGGGGATCGAGCCATTGGAATCGGCTGGGGCGTATTGTATCATTGTAATGGTACTGCCGTGATGATGATTGCAATTGTCAACCATGTCGGCTGTTAGTCGCTGGCGATCGCAACTGGCGTGGTATGCGATACGATCTGACACGGGAGGATTCGTGAAACCCCGAGGGCATGACGTGACGTCATTGTGACTCCAGGTGGACGCCATAGACGTCTTTCAGCCGGACAGCATCTGGGACATCACCAAGTTGTCGTCCGGCTTCCAGGCTCTGTTTAATATGGTCACCGACCAGGTAGGGTCACCTGCGGTGGCGGCCGAGCCGTGCCAGAGGCGCAGAGGTTGACAGGCACCTGCCAGGGTGTTCTGACAGTCTGATCCCCCCCCCCCCCTACGTTTGGCAAACTTCTGCGATTCGTGTGCGAAGTTTGGGTACAGTGTTACTTGCACGTGGTTTTGATGACGATGCTCTGCATTAAAACTCCACAAATACTTCGTTTGTGTAACAAATGGCTTGTGTCCCACAACTCATCTGGATAGGCTTAAACACGCGCCAAATTATATTATTACATCAGTAGTCTTGTCTACGGCTCTCACCTGCATTTTGCAAAAGCTTAGAGTCGTTTTATTTTCTTATAGTTATTGCTTGGAATATGGCTTATCTGCGACTGACGATACGATGCTAGATTGATAAACTGTGGGCCGCCTTCCCAGTTCGGCTCTTGGCCTGGGTCATGTTTGTGACTGCTTCGATGCCCGGACGCACCTGCCAAAAAACTCGTATCAAGTAAATCAGCGTAACTATCTGTATCGTTTGTGCGTTAGTGATGTCATGCGCCACCGTAAACCACATGGACAAAGGCATGTGACAGGAAATTATCTTTAAATATTGTTTCCCATGGCCCGATTAGATTTTTGGGCGATATTTGCTGACCTATGCTGATGATTGCGAAATGTTTAAGATTGAAGGAAATCCCGTCACTGAGAGCTTTCCTCTTCATAATCAAATATGAACTTCCTTTATGGGTGCCACTCTGTGTGCGCCTGGGACCGGAGCCCCGCAGAGTAACGTCACATCTTGCCTTCAGGCCTGCGGCGATGCGTGACGAAAATGGCACGACAATCACCGTTGTAACGCGTGCGGGCGCGCGTCCGCAGGCGACCTCCGTGGAGAACCGTGTGGTGGACCGGGCGCGCGCCTGGTGCGGCTCGCTGGCTGCACCCTACCTGCGCTGCAGCGCCCAGCTCACACTCGACCTGCCGCTGGACGAGACGCGCAACGAGCAGCTGTTGCTCATCCTCTGGGAGAGTCGCGTCTACCTGGAGACCAAGCGCGACATCCTGCGCGACTTCGTCAAGCTGCTGTGAACGCCGGCGCGGGCGCGGGCGTGGACTTGTTCGGCGCGGCGCGGCGCACGGCTGGTTGAGCGACTCATATCTTCCGATAGTGGAACTGTTCCACCGACCGTTTGGACGTCAGTTACCATTGTGCTGTCTAGAGGCTTGCCTGCTGGGTGATGTTGTTGGCTGATCTGTGGGATGACGGTACCAGAGGAGGATGACAGGTGTATGGGTGGCACCAGAGGAGGATGACGCAGGTGTATTGGTGGTATCAGAGGAGTAGGACGCAGATGTATTGGTGGTACCAGAGGAGTAGGACGCAGGTGTATTGGTGGCACCAGAGGATGACGCAGGTGTATTGGTGGCACCTGGGGATTTTGTCGTGTAATTGTCTTTGTTTTGCGTATCCGCCGTATTGAATGAGCTGCTGGTTTTGCGAGTGTATGGGGCTAGAGTATTATCTTTCTTCATCTGGCTGTATCTGTCTAAGCGTTCTGCATTTGCAGTTCTGCAGTAGTTTAGCTGGTTAAGTTTTCCTCAGGTGTCATACCGCACTGAAGCGTTTTGGTCATTTATGGAGTATGTTTACCGTGAATGTGCCATTCATGAAATGACAGTTTTAGTTACGGGTTCTCATTTAGCCGTAGACGCACGCGAATTCGTGAAGCAGCTTTAATTCGACGTCGTTGCTTAGCAATGACCTCGAATGAAATTGATCCAGGTCGTGAAATGGCCTGCGTATGCCTAATTGCGTCTGCGCATATGCAGTCCCCGCAGAGACTGTGCTGTGAAGGCTGACCTTCTGCACCGGCAGGCGGGGAATGCGCTTTGATAGCTTTTAATCATATGGTGGGTCAATATAATACTCCCAGATTACGTGTTTGTCAGCTCGGCGTGTGATCAAATCTAGTGCTCTGAGCAAAGCTGTGCAGTGCTAGATGCACGGACGGCTTTGGCTGCCGTTCTACACAGCCCCCGCCCCGCGTGTTGCCATCCCTGGCTGTCGTCTGGGCACGGTTTGTTACGCTTCGTGCCGCCAGCACTGATATGTCCCTGGTATGCACTAGGACGCGGCAATTACTTCCAGGTTCGTGATTGATCCTTGTATTCAGCTGTTCTACAATTATTTTGTTGTGCAGCACATTTGAGAATGTTGGTGTTGGGTGTGATTTGGCTTATGGATGTATTACAACGGAAATAACGCGTCTATCGATCGCAGATTTTAGGGACGGTCATGCAGTCTTTTAGGCTGAGAAGGGTAGTGAAGACTTAGTGTAGCTGCCAAGAATGTTGTGATTTGGCTTATTATGGATGTATTACAGCGGAAATAAAACGTTCATCGATCGCAGATTTTAGGATGGTCATGCAGTCCTGTAGGCTGAGAAGAGTAGTGAAAACTTAGTACAGCGCACAAGAATGTTGCAACCGACGTGATAACTACATTAAGCGGACTCGGATCATCTGGAACATTCACGGGCCGAACCATCCACGCATACTTGTGGATCTGACGTAGACGAGTTCGCAGGCACTTCCTGTTGACGTTAGATGGGGCGGTTCGCAGTAAGCAAATGCATGAAAAGTGTCCTTGGATGCAGCGTGCCAGGAATCCGGTGGCCCCGCTCGTGACGCGCGGGGCACACGGGGCGGGGCCTGGACCCCCAAACGCGACCCGGAGGAAATTGTGAAGGGCATATCAATTGACTGACGTATGTTGGCTTAGGTATCGCGGTTATTGCTAAGCGCCAATTGTTGTGAAGACCCGGCCCACGCCGCTGGGGTGGAACAATGACAGTTAAACGGGAAATCCTCAGTCAGTTTCCAGCTAGCCTATACCGTGCTAGCCTGTCCTTCATAGCCAGTTGTAGCCGGGTGTCAGGATAGCAGCCTGGCTCACTTTCTGGGACGCGAGCCGGTACGTCTGTCGCGCAGTGGGGGTAGCCAGTCCTGTATCCCCCCCCCCCCTCCCCTTCTGCCGATGAGGTGGTGTGCACTAGTTGGCCTGGTGCTTTCACCAAGTGCATGGCTAACTACCACCCAGCAACACGGTACCCGATGCCACATCAAACCAGACGACGTAGCACTTTTGGGCAATTGTCCGACTCATGGGCAAACGACGGGTAGACGAGCCGCCGACCTTTCGTGCGAGATTTGTTCATGCGATGCGACGCGTACGAAAGCATGATGCAGATTCCGGGTTCCGTGGGAGACATAAAACAATGCGTCCGTTTAGTGTTTACCACACGCGCATTACATGATAATGCACAGTCACTGTATTGCAAACAGCAAAGCACACCACAAGTGGACCCGATTGCGTAGGCAGCAACTCGATCACGCATGAACGAGAAACGCCCTTTCCGCTGTCCACCACAAGACGCAGGTATGCCAGCTGCCACCGGCCATCCCCAGCACCGCTGGTCTGGGACGGGTACGCCGCACTGGGCCCGTCGGTCTGAAGCCGGCGCGCCGCCCCGTCCGGCGGGGAGGGAAGCAGCAGTGGCTCGGCTGACCGAGCGCTGCCGACGGGCCGGAAGGGAAGGCGTTTCAGTGAGGCGAGCCCGTGGCGGCGACGTGCCACGACCGGCCGGGGTCGGCCGTCACGGCCAGCTTGAGCCGGCGGCGCTCCGGCGCCGGTGGCGGCCGCAGGCCCGTCTCCGACTCGGAGCCGCTCGAGGCGGCCGCCACGACGATTAGGCTGGCCGAGCCGGCGGCGGCCGGTCGTTCCTTCCGCGTCATGTGCTTCAGCACCTTCTCGGCAACCAGCTGCTCATACAGTTGGCGTGTCTCCGGGTCGAGCGAATGGGCCTTCTTGCTAAGCCGCAGCGCCGGCAGCGGGATCTTCATCACGTCCACCAGGTAGCGGTACTGGCGACGCGAGACCACGCGGCGTAACGCAATCGCCCTTCGGATGTCCTCGGCGTCCCAGAAGCCCTTCTGCCGGATGCCCAGCAGACGTTTCAACTGCGCGCGCGTGAAGGTCCTGCGCAGCTGCGCGCGGTCGCTGTTCAGCTCGGCAGCAACCTTATTCTTGGCCACGGTGGCACGCAGCACGAGAGCACGCAGCTCCAGCACCTCGCAGCGCAGCCGGTGCACGAGCCGCAGCGCCCGCGGCAGGTCGCGCGGCGTGACACAAAGGTCGGCGGCGCTGCAGCCGGCCGCCGTCGGCTCGTCGTCCCGCAACACTAACAGCGCGTCGGCCGCGGTCGTGGTCGGCACCGTTCGCCAGGCGGGCTCGGGCGCGTCGGCGCCCGGCCGCCGTCGCCGCCGCCGCTCGGCCTCCTCCTCTGCCTCGCGCCGCTGCGCCAGCGCGCGCATCTCGGCGTTCTGCGCGCGCAGCACCAGCTGCAGCTGGTGCACAGCGCGCTGCCGGTTCAGCAGCTCGCCAAAGCGGTCGGACACGGGCGGCCCGCCGCGGCCGCCGCGCAGCCGCAGGCAGTACTCCTCGATGTCGTCGTCGAATATGGAGCCGCCGTGGGCGCGGCGCGGCGCGGCCGGCGGCGGCGGGCTGGGCGGGGCGGTCGCAGGCTGGCTCGGGGCCGGCTGCTGGGCGGTTTGCGCCGCCTCCAGCCGGATCGTCAGGCGGGCGTGCGGCGGCGCCGGCTCGGGCGCGCCGGCCTCCCCCGTACGCACCTGCTGCGCCATGTCGGCTCGGATGAGACGCAGCGCCTCGGCCACTGGGTCGGGTGGTGGCTGTGGTGGCGGCGGGCTGACCGGCGCGAGCCGCACCAATGGCGACGGTACGTACGCTTGCCGCGGCTGGTCTGTGTGGATCACCATCTCCAAGGTAGGTGCCGGGGAGCCCGGAGGCGCGCCGCGATTCCGGTGCATGGCCGCGGGGGAGACAGCACGCAGGGTCAGCTGGTATGATTGCGACCTGGAGAACAGCGGCATGAATCCCCACATGGCACATGACACTGCTGACCTGTAATAAATGACACAATAATGGGTCCGTGCCAGGATGGGTAGCAATAGACACCCCTTTGCCTGATCCAACTTGACACAAATTAAATCAATTTGGGCTTAAACAATGATAAGCTGAATCAAATGTCAAATCAAACTTGCTCCCCTGTTATGATTCAGATCAGCTGCCAACTGAGCCAAAGCAGCTGATACATTCTGAACCTAATATTGGACTGATGAACAGTGTGTCTTAATCATTGCCTGACTCACTTTACTTAATAAACCATTGTTTTTCTTCCTGGTGAAAAGATCTGGTATTATTGGTTATCAGATTCATATCATGATTTGGTTGATTGCATGGACTTTTTCAGCCATGCTTGCCATCACTCACATAATCAACTATGAAATCAAATATCACTTTAAATCACTTCAAAAGCTAGGGCATTAACACAGATTTAACCTTATAATATCAGGGGATTTTGAATTTCATTATGCATCTTTTGCATCAAACAGAAGCCTAGAACATGCTTCAGCTACATTCTGCTATCCAAAAGGAAAAACAATCATTTTAAACCAAAAAATGTCTCAAGTCAGCATACCTATTATCTTCTTCCAGAGTAAAATCTGCTCTGCAAAAAAACTATTAAGTTCAAGATGATCTAACTTACCATAGAATGGAAACATTAAAGTCTCATCATGAGATGTGCTACTTTTTCTAAAATGGCATGCTTTTGAGGACCTCTAGTTTCTCATAAAGTAATATAGATAATGCACAATGCAAATTTAGAAAGAACACCTTTCAACAGCAGGGTAAAGGATAAGCTGGGATTATGATTGAATTAAAATTAATGAATGGATTAAAAAACATGAAAACAGTTATCAAAACACTAGTCTCTGATAGATGAGGAGGTATTTATGGCCAATGTGTGAACTGAAACTGATACCACCATTCAGAATATGCATTATATATATATATATATATATATATATATATATATATATATATATATCATATATATTACTATACTGTAAACCTAATATAGAACACATAATATAAAAACAGTGAAATAGCATGGGAAATTGCCTGCTTTATTCAGTCTATTGATGATTGAGGTGCTCAGCACAAATGATATTCCTTGGCCCATTTGCCTGGTGTGCCTATGACAATGCCCAGTTACTGGCTGTCTGGTGTGTTGCTAATATTGTTCTGCTGTAATTCTTATACAATGGTAAGGAAAACTAAGGCATGGTATGCTGAAGCAGCAGTGCATAGATCATAATAAAATACTGTAAGTTATTATCCCTTTAAATTTGACCTGTTGGTGTTTCTATCATTAATAAGCAGCTAACAATGTAAGAATATTACTCACTATCAAAACTTTGCAAAACTTAAAATTCAGTGTGTGTGAAGATGCTGCATGGCCTTAAGCATATCCACAAGAACCACAATGCATTAGCACCATGCCTTTACAGGCTCTAACAAAGATGGCCATACGTTTCAGGTTATATAGCCACCATGATGGGTACAGTCACATCTTTGACACTGAAGATGGAAGTACCAAATTGAGGGGGCCAATTGGATCCTGAAGGGGTGACCTTAACTGAGCATTGCATGTTGAATGAGAAAACACGAAAACCAGGATTTCTAGGGGAGGAAATGGAGGGAACAAACCCACATTGTGAGAAATAGAGGGGACATGTCTTGGGATAGAGGGGACATATCCCAAGGTAGCTGCACCCATAGGCACCGACACACCGCGTTCACTACCCATGTCCTACAATGTACCGGAGCTGTGCCGCCTCAGCTTGTTGGGATTGGTAACAAGCTGTCGCCCGGCCCGACAGGGACCACAGTACAACTGCCAGAAACCCCGGCTTAACGTTTGCGCAGCCTTGTCCATTTCATGCGCCAGAAATGCAATCTCTCACTACGAAATGCTTTGAGTAAAAATAACAAAAGCATGCATACACATTCT